GAGAGTTTTCAGTCATTATATCTTTAAATATTTTCTTTTTCTTCTGTCCTTCTTGTAATCCCATTACATGCACACTTAATGGTCTTCAATGGTGCATATGATGGTGCTTCACATTTCTCTGGGGTTTTGCTCATTTTTCATTTTCATTCTCTGTTCTTTGGAAAGCATATCTCTCTTACTCTATTTGCCAGTTGGCTGACAATTTCTTCTGCCAGTTCAAATCTACTATTGAACCCCTTTCGTGCATTTTTTCCTTGTCATAGTTTTTAACTTCATGAATTTAGCTCTTGCCACTTGGAGCTGCAGGGGATAAGAAATGCTGGCATCTTGCCCCTCCCTGTGAGGTACCATACCTCTGGACAGGGAGCTGAGGGAGACGGAGCTCTGTTTTCTTGGCTGCACCCACTGAAATGGGAGGGAGGGGGGAGTCTGTTGTGGCTGAAGAGTCTGACTCACTGTTCTTACCAAGATTTGGATTTCCTTGAATAAGTGTTACTTTATTCTACATGCTTTTAGGATAATTTTCAGTACATTAAGTGTTTGTGTCTCTCTGTATAAGAGGAAGGTGTTTATTTTTTGTTCCAATTTTCACCAGTTAAAGCTAATCCCTAGGACAGGGGGTCCAGAGGGCCCTTCACATTGCCATTCTGGAAGTGAAAGTCTAAAGGATATCTCAGTGTTAGAAAATTTAACTGTGTACTTTACTACACTAAGAAAAGCTATACAGTTATATCAATATATACCAGAAAAGACTTTGAGGACAATCATTCTACCATGTGTGATAACCAATTATGACACCACAATGATAAAAACAGTGGGTTACTAGCAAAGTTAGATAAATGGACCAATTTAACAGAATGCAGAGCCAAGAAACATTTCCATAATTATATGTAAATTGGTAAAGGTGGCATTATACATCAGGAGGAAAATAATAAACTATTTGTTAAAGGTGGTAGGGAAACTAGTCATCCGTATGGGATTAATAATTTATGAGAATGTATTCATGACCTTAGCTAGGGAATGGTTCTTAAAGAAACAAAAAAAATGGAAAGACTGAATTTACTGTATTTTAAAACTTCCATATGATAAACATCACAAAGTAGATATGAGAATATGTTAATTCTCCATATTTTTATATAAAAGTTAAAAGACTCACAACCAATACTAAAAATCTGTAAAACACCTAGGAATAAGCCTATTATGAAATGTGCAAGAGATTTATGATGAAAGTTATTAAAATTTCATCCAAGAATATAAAAGACTTTAATAAAATGAGGCCTATCATAATACTAATCAGAAACATAATATTAATTATAAAGAAGTCTTTTATTCTTAAATTAATGTGGAAACAAATGCAACCCTAGTCAAAAGAACACCACAATTTTACTGGAATTTAATAAACTAATTCTTGATTCAGCTGGAACAGAAAACACCCAAGAATAAGACACTGAAGAGGGGGAGAAAGGAAAAGCAACTTGCCCACAAATGGCAAAACACAACGCAAAGCACCAAATGACAGCATGAGGAGTGTGGTTACTGGTAGAACCAACACCTGGATCCACGGGTCAGAAATAGACAACTTAGCATGTGATGAGTTGAAAGCTGACATTTTAAACTGGTGGAGAAAAGAATATTTGTTGATCATTGGAATAATTGCCTTTTTGTTTTTGTTTAGGGGAACAATCCTAAAAGATAAACAACCCACAGGAAAACTAGGCAAATATAACACAAATAGGCAAAGTATGGTAGAGATCTACAAATGGCCAATAACACGCAAATGTTTGATTTTATAAGTAATCAGGGAAATTCAAGTGAAAAAAAAGTACTTTCAATCATGAGATTGGTTAAAACAAAACAAAACAACCTACCGATATTGATACCACTTACTGTTGGCAAGGGTTTGGAGAAATGGGTCCTTTTATGGAGGGTGAATTGAAGCAAGTAATTTTGCTACATCAACTGACATTTAAAATCTACATAATTAATCCAACAATTCTATGCAGGCAGAGCTATACTTACAGGAATAGAAATGTCTTGTACATAATATTAAATGAAAAGTTAGTTGCAAAATAAGGATGGTATCACCCCATTAATATAAATTACATATTTAAAGCAAACTGGTTGCTGTAATAGACTTCAAAAGACAGTAGTTTAAGCAAGTCAGTATTTTATTTTACTCTTAAATAGCAAGTCAAAGGAGAACAGTTCAAGACTGGCAGGCCAACTTCTCCTTCCTCAATACATGACTTCCATCTCTTGAGATGCCAGGTCACTACTGAAGCTCCCATTGGCCTCCCAGCCAGCAAGAAAGGGGAATGTCAAGGAGAGTACATACCCTGCTTCTTTATTTAAAGGGCCAATTTGGAAGTTTAAAACTTAGTCATATGGCCACAATTAACTTTAAGGGAGGCTGAGTAGTAGTCTTAAGCTGAGCAGCCAGACGTCCAGATAAAACTCAGAAATTTTATTAGTAAAGGAAGAATGAGAAAATGACATTATAGCAGCAGTCTGTGTCATGTGATTCTCTAAATGCATGGAGAAGACACACCAAACATAGGACTGTACTTAGCTGTGGAACAGGTGCAAGATGGTGTGGGGGTGGGGAGGCAGACTATTGCTTGAACATTTTTAATGGTGATGGTATTAACATATTTAATTTTTTGACAAAATTTTAAAATCCTTTATTTGTGCTGATAAAGCATGTTAAATACATTAAATCTACACTGTACAAAGCTTTTAAAGTTCCAAAAATTAGATTTTTATCTAAATGAATAAACTTCTCTGCATTGTTAAAACCATTCTACTTACTGCAATGTTCTCCAAGTCCCTCCATCCAGGAGGCATGATGACAATGTGTGCAGATCTCCTCACTGAGACACCACCTTCCCAAGATCATGGTACATCAGAAAAACTGAGACAAGAACTGGAACAAGGACCACCTTGCTCCTACTGCATTATAGCTTTTGACAGTATTTGTTACTTGAAGAGAAGGCTATACCTTGTCTAGCTCAATACAGTTTATGTTTCAGACACTATAAATGTGATGCCCAAATGCTTCATATGAGTGAACAAGGTCAGCAGATCACCCTGAGAACAAGGAAGACACAATTTCCTTATAGGCTAATGATTATAAAAATAGAAATTAAGAGCTCCCCAGAAACAAACCACTTAGTCAAAAAGGAAGGAGTTTTGACTTCCTTCTAAACCAAGTATTCAAGTTTAAGACTTATTGGCCTGTTTAAAAATTCCTTCTATGACTTCTCAACAATGATGGCAAAGTGACAAGAATAATGTAATCATCATCTTCCCTCATTATATATAAACCAAACTAAAAACCAAAGAAATGAACAAGCTATAATCCAAAAAAACTAGAAAATCCTGGCAGGAATCATAAAGAACATCTCTAAGAAAAGGATTCTTGGCTTAAGCAAAATATTAGAGCAGAGAAAGCAAAACTCATGTCCTCTCATGCAGTCCGGCAAGGCTCCCCCTGCCCAGGACCCTCCTGTCTGAGTCACAGGGACAAGCAGACAGAAGATCTGGACACAGCTATCCATGTTAAGCATGAGCGAGATGTAAAGAAACAGCACGGTAGGAGGGCAGGTATACTACAGAAAATGAGAGAGGAAAAGAGCAGACCAGAGAACACAAATCCAAGAAACAAACTGCACTGAGATAGCTACAGAAGAAATTCAAGGAATACAATGAATTTCAGAAAACAACACTTCAAAGATGAGATGATAAAATCATCCTGAGAAGGAAACAAGAAAAACACAGGTAAGAAAATAAACTGGGCTAGGCGCAGTGGCTCACGCCTGTAATCCCAGCACTTTGGGAGGCCGAGGCGGGCGGATCACGAGGTCAGGAGATCGAGACCATCTTGGCTAACACAGTGAAACCCCGTCTCTACTAAAAATACAAAAAATTAGCCGGGCGTGGTGGCGGGCACCTGTAGTCCCAGGTACTCGGGAGGCTGAGGCAGGAGAATGACGTGAACCCGGGAGGCGGAGCTTGCAGTGAGCAGAGATCACGCCACTGCACTCCAGCCTGGGTGACAGAGCGAGACTCCATCTCAAAAAAAAAAAAAAGAAAATAAACTGAGGATCAAAGCAACACCATTACAGAACCATAAACACATAAACAGTAGTGAGATACAAACAGCCTTGGCTGGAATCCAAACCACAGAAACAGGAAAGCCCGTCACAGGGAATGCAAAGGCAGGCGCAAGACAAAGGCAACTGGAGAGAAGACAGCCTGCCAGCCTGCAGATAAGAGAGGTCTGGAGTGGTGTCACTTCATAGTAATAACAGCTGGGTCTGCTGTGGGCTGCAGTGATGTTTGTGTGCATGCACATGTGTGGTTTTTATGTACCTACTTTTGGCTTTAATTGGATTTTTTTTTTAATAGCACATTTTGTGACTGTAGGAGGGAAAAAGATGCCCTTTTGTGACTGTAGAAGGGAAAAAGATGCCCTCTGCTTAAAGGAAAGCCAGGGTAAACTGAATACCCTACAACTTTCCACAAATACATGTCTTATCATTTATTAACAAACTGTTTCATGCTTTACTAATAAAAATACCCACCAATTTGCCAGTACCTTGAAAAGAGGATCTTTTCAAGAAAATTAATATAATTATCAAACAACAAATAACAAACCTGACCTTTGTGGGTGGCAAACAGTAAATTTAAATGTTTAAAGGTTATGCATCAAAATAATGCTGTTATCAGATATTGATGAACTTACTGAACAGGTTTGACTGAATATAAAACCTGTTTTTAGCACCAATAAAAAAAATTATTGAGATTTCTGTTCTGCAAACTTCTAACTGTGCTCCCTGACAGCATCTTTTGGGTAAAGGAACAAATGTGCTCCAAGGAGTAACCGTTAGGTCCTTGATTTTTTAACATAATTCAGAGTGCCAAAAAAAAAAAATCAATCCAAGTATTTTCTCCTTTAGCTAGCATTATTAAAACTTTTTAACTTTCAGAGAAGAGTTTCGTCTTCTTAAAGTTTTTATTCTGAGGTAGATGTCATGCAAACAAACATCAAGTGCAGCCAACTTCCGTTGACAAACATGATTATTAATAATAAATTAATAATCAGAAATGCCCATTAGAAAAAGTGACTTGAAAGTTTAGGAAGCAATGTTGTTTAGCAGTATTCTGGCTTGAGTTTCCAAATTCCTTCACCACCAGAAGTTCTATGAAACGTGCACAGATTTCTCAATAGTTCTCGGAAGACACAAGACTGCGATGCAGATAACTTGGATTCAAACTCCCGTAGTATCTCCCTAGTGCTGGCCTGGCCATCAGTGTGGGCCTGGAAAGCGATGAAGTTTCTCATCTCCACCAGAAGGTCATCATGTTCTGTGGTGGGAAGCAGGGCAGAAGCTTCCTGCAGGTGCCCGCTTTCACTTTCTAAACGCTCTGGCAGAATCAGGTGGTTTCTAGCTCTCATTTTAGCCAAGAGTGAGGAGGAAGCAAGGGCCCCGGACGAAGAGTCTGTATCTTCTGCTCTTCCACTAAAATGCTCAGGGACATTATCTTTTCCCTCCTTTTTCATGATGCCATCCTGGAAAAAGAAGACCACTACATTGATATATTTAATCTCTAGTTTATGCCCCCACTTCCTTCCCCAAAAGCTGTGAGGGGTCACCAGACAACACGTGTGCCAGGGTGGTGAGGTTGACGGGATAAGACTGAGACTCCACCTAATGAAAAGGGAAAGGAGGAGGGTCCGGTATCTAAATCCTCCCACTGTTAAGAGACCATTTCCTAAAAAAATAAAATAAAATAAAAGGGGGGCAACCAAGCCATGCCCTTAGTCACCACTCTGCATGGTGGTGGAAGGGAAGGCAGAGTGGAGGTTTCCAGGCAAGGTTTCAGGAAAATCTGTCTCTAGGAGGCCCAGGACCACTTTCAGTGCCTGTGGGCTTTTCCTATTCTTCCTCTCAAATGGACCCTGACCTGTACACTGTGGATAAGGAACAGTATCATAGCTATACTTCTTTTTCCTCCCTTTTAAATCTTCTTACTCTTTCCTACCTTACATCTAATGCAAGTTTCCTTAAAAAAACACAAATCTAACTCTGAAAGGGTCTCAAATCCCTACTGCTAAAAGCACAGAACATGAGAAGTCAAAAAGGTACTCATATTCCTAAACACGTTCATATTAACTTAAAATTGGAGTCTGAATCTGGGAGTTTTAACATAATCCTTAATCAGAAAGACCACAAAGACTTCCACTGAATGGTGGAGTCTGGACTAGTTTTAATCACTGTAGCACTCAAGGCAAGCAGGGCATTCTTGAACAGAGAAAGACAGGCACTCTGCTCTAGCAGCTAGTGAGTTACAGACACCAACATTCAAGGCAGTTTTCTGGACCTTTATTTCAGAGGGTTGTGGTCTCTGGAGCTGGCACTTCCCCTCTAGACAAGGCAGGCTGTCCTAGCAGCGACACACCCATCCCTGTGTCAACCTTCTAATGGCAAAACAGAAATGCTGCTACGGATCTTGGGTTAAAGACTTTGTCTTTAGGAAATCAGCAGGTCCTTTTAGATTCAAGTGAATGTGCATCGTAAATCAGAGCATGCAACACAAATATCAGGTGTCATTACACCAGAGATAACCATTTTCTTCACACCCAAAATCAGGTGAAATTTTCATGGCATTCAATCAAGCAAATCTCACCCTGGAAAGCAAAAAGGTTATCTATATTACCTGGCACTTCTCTGCTGGAGATGTCGATGAAGAATGCTGCACAGAGAAGTTAGAATTCCTTTTCTTACCAAATCTACTCCTAAAGAAGGAAAATAATCACAGTAGATTAAATGTTTGCTTTTGAGACTCAGAGATCAAAATACTCTTTCAACAATGAATTTCTTCCTGGAAACATTTCCATTTGCATGGTTATTCTTTCACAGCCACGCCATTTCTGGTCTATCCCCCTCGACTCTTCCACACCACCCTCCTAGAAAGTAACTGCTGGCCGGGTGCAGAGGCTCATGCCTGTAATCCCAACACTTTAGGACGCCGAGGCGGGCAGATCACTTGAGGTCAGGAGCTCGAGACTAGCCTGGCCAACATGGTGAAATCCTATCTTTACTAAAAATACAAAAATTAGCATGGCATGGTGGCGGGCGCCTGTAATCCCAACTATTCGGGAGGCGGAGGCTGCAGTGGGCTGAGATCACACCACCGCACTCCAGCCCAGGTGACAGGGTGAGACTCCGTCTCCAAAAAAAAAAAAAAAAAGGAACTGCTGCATCTCAGAATGAGAACCACTCAGTTTCTTGTTCAAAAGATGATGGGAACCATTCTCAATTCCAGGTAGGAAAATCATTCTAAAAGAGCATACTGAATAACAAAGTAATCAATGTGTGTTGTAAATTGGCTAATTATCTCATTCAAGTTTAATCATTATCCTAGATCTCTTACTATTTTTAACAACACCATCTCTCAAATAAAACCAATCACTTCTCCTGAAGCCACTTTGGAAAACAGGGGATGAAAGCAAGCAGGAAGGCAAAGTTGTAACAGTATTTCTACAAGTCACCTAGATTTCGCTGCTATAATCTTTCCATGAGGGATTTATTCCTGAAGAGAAATAACAACATAAGCCTCCACACCTGCTCTGATTTTATTTCTAGCCTTAGCTGTTTGGCCTCCTTGCAAGTATGGCATGCAGCAATCTCTTACTTTGTTCCTGCTGGTGCACCAGAAATCCCCCTGTGGCCAGTCCAGGTGGGAACACCAGACACTGCTCCCAGACACCGCTGACGAGAGAGCCTCAGTGCTTTCAAGGCATCCTGAGCCACTCGGTTGGCTTCTGCTTCCACCAGTACATAATCTGGGTTGGCTCCATCCATGATGGCATCGTGCTTCATGACACTGTGCACGCCAACTAGCAAGAAAAGAAACAGCAAAGTGATATTTCACTTTGTACGCAAGAAAGACACTTTTCTCCTCTGTATAAGTACAATATTGTGGTAGACAAAAAACAAAGTCATAGTACACTTAGAAAACCCTAGAGAATCAATGATAAAAAATAGTAAAATAATTCAGGCAACATAAAAAAATAAAATTCACATACAGAAACCTGTAACGTTCCTATTTACAAACAATAGCCAGCTGAAGATAAAATGGCAGGAAAATTCTACTTACAGTAACAGAAAAGACAAAACACTTAGGAATAAACCCAAGCAATGTGTAAAGCTTGTATGGAGAAGACATGAAAACACTCCTGGGAAGAGGGACCATCAGACTTAAACAAACAGAAAGATATCCCTTGCATTTGAGAAGAATGACTCAATAACCATTTTCCCTGAGTTAATTTATATGTTTAATGCAATCTCAATAAAAATATCAAGCTTTCTTATGAAGTTAGACAAACTGATATTAAAGTTCATATAGAAAAATAAACCTTCATGAATAGATCAGAAAACACTGAAAAGGCAAAGTGACACCCTACCGGACAATAAAACATGCTCCAATTACAACAGTTTGGTGCTGAGGAAGGAAGAGACACAACAGGAGATTGACCAGAAACTAGAAATAGATTGAACTACATTTGGAAATGTATTACATGATAAAGGCATCTCTAATCACTGAGAAAACCATATTTGAAATAAATGATGCTACAAACGTTGGGGCACAAATGTTGGGGCATTTTATCTTTGAACCAAGATAAAATCCACACCTCATACTCTAAATGGATCAGAAATCTGAATGTAAAAAGCAAAACCATACAAGTAGTACAAGAAAACATGGTGAATTATCATATGATCTATGTGTAGAAAAGGCTTAGAACTACAATTCCAATTAATAAAAGACTGACAAGTGTTTTTTTTTTTAAAAAAACCTGTTTCATAGGAAAAAAATTATCATAAGTAATAAAAGACAACCAATGAGGAAATACTTGTAACATATATGAAAAATGAAAAGTTAACATCCCTAATATATAAAGAACTCTTTAAAACCAAGGGGAAAAAGGGACCAAAAATCTGATTTAGAAAATGGACAAAAGATATGAACAGACAAATTCACATAAAGAAAAATTTTTTAAATATAAATGGTCCTATAAAAAGTTCAATTTCACTCAAAGAAAATAACTGCAAATTGAAACTTAATATATCTTTTCTCATCTATCAGACTGGGAAAAATTAAAAGTATAACACCACACTCTTGACAAGGCTCTGGGGAACAATTGCTGGTGACAATTCAAATTGATCTAAACCTTACAAAAGGGAGTTGGGCATTATTCAAACAAACAAAACAACCTTACATATGTGTTCACCTTTTGATCTAGCAATCTCTCTTGTACAAGCACAGGATTATTTCGTGCAGCATTGTGGCTGAAAGAAGCTATAAACAATCTAAATCCTCATATGTGGATAAACTGTGGTACAGGTTTAATATCTCTTAATCAAAATTCCTGGGACCAGAAGTGTTTCAAATTTTCACTTTTTTGGAATTTGGAATAATTGCATATACAAAATGAGACATCTTGGGGATGGGCCCCAAGTCTAAACACAAAATGTGTGTATTTTTAACATACACCTTACACACGTAGCCTGAAGGTAATTTTAATATAATATGTTTTTATCAATTTTGTGCAAGAAACAAAGTGTTAACTGTGTTTTGACTGTGACCCATCACATGAAGTCAGGTGTGGAATTTTCCACATCTGGCATCATGTCAGTGCACAAAAGGTTTTGATTTTTGAGCATTTTAGATTTCGGGTTTTGGGTCAACATAGCAGAGCACTCTAGCAATAAAAATTGCTAAAGGAGGAATAGCTCTCTGTTAACTAATACAGGAGTGGCTGTCAGGATATATGAAGTTTTTTAAAAAAAGAAACAGAAGATAACATAATGTACAACCTTTTGTGTAAAAGAATAAGGGAATATGAAATTATACATGTGCCTGCTTATTTCCACAAAAAGAAACTGATACAGTTCAGCTGTGTCCCCACCCAAATCTCATCTTGAATTGTAACTCCCACAATTCCCACGTGACAAGGGAGGAACCCAGTGGGAGGTGATGAATTATAAAGATGACTCTTTCCTACACTGTTCTCACGAGTGAATGAGTCTCACGAGATCTCATGGTTTTAAAAATGGGAGTTTCCCTGCACAAGCTCTTTGCCTGCTGCCATCCATGTAAGATGTGACTTGCTCCTCCTTGCCTTCTGACATGATTGTGAGGCCTCCACACCCACATGGAACTGTAAGTTGATCAAACCTCTTTTGTAAATTGCCCAGTCTTGGGTATGCCTTTATCAGCAGGGTGAAAATGCACTAATACAGTCCATCTGTACCAGTGGGGAGGTGCGCTGCTGAAAAGATACCCCAAAATGTGGAAGCAACTTTGGAACTGGGTAACAGGTAGAGATGGGAACACTTTGGAGGGCTCAGAAAAAGACAGGAAAACGTGAGGTTTGGAACTTCCTAGAAACTTGTTGCATGGCTTTGACAAAAATGTTGATAGTGATATGAGCAGTAAGCTCTAGACTGAGGTGGTCTCAGATGGAGATGAGGAACTTGTTGGGAAGTGGAACAAAGGTGACTCTTGTTATGTTTTAGCAAAGAGACTGGTGGCATTTTGCCCCTGCTGTAGAGATTTGTGGAACTTTGAACTTGAGAGAGATGATTTAGGGTATCTGGTGGAAGAAATTTCTAAGCAGCAAAGCATTCAAGAGGCGACATGGGTGTTGTTAAAGGCATTCAGTTTTATAAGGGAAGCAGTGCATAAAAGTCTGGATAATTTGCAGCCTAACAATGTGATAGGAAAGAAAACCCCATTTTCTCAAGAGAAATTCAAGCTGGCTGCAGAAATTTGCATAAGTAACGAGGAGCCAAATGTTAATCCCCAAGACAATGGGGAAAATGTCTGCAGGGAATGTCAGAGACCTTCATGGCAGCGCCTCCCATCACAGGCCCAAAGGCCCAGGAAGAAAAAGTAGTTTCATGGGCCTGGCCCACGGTTCATGCTGTGTGCAGCCTGGGGACTTGGTGTCCTGCGTCCCAGCCACTCCAGCTGTGGCTGAAAGGGGCCAACACAGAGCTCAGGCCATGGCTTCAGATGGTACAAGCCCCAGGCCTTGGCAGCTTCCACAAGGTGTCGAGCCTGAGGGTGCACAGAAGTCAGTAACTGAGATGTGGGAACCTCCACCTAGATTTCAAAAGATGTATGGAAACACCTAGATGCCCAGGCAGAAGTCTGCTGCAGGGGCAGGGTTCTCATGAAGAATCTCTGCTAGGGCAGTGCAGAAGGAAAATGTGGGGTTGGAGCCCCCACACAGAGTCCCTACTGGGGCACCACCTAGTGGAACTGTGAGAAGAGGGCCACGGTCCTCCAGACCCCAGAACGGTAGATCCACTGACAGCTTGTACCATGCACCTGGAAAGGCTGCAGACACTCAATGCCACCCATGAAAGCAGCCAGGAGGGAGGCTATACCCTGCAAAGCCAAAGGGGCGGAGCTGCCCAAGACCATGGGAACCCACCTCTTGCATCAGCGTAACCTGGATGTGAGACATGGAGTCAAAGGAGATATTTTGGAGCTTTAAGATTTGACTGCCCTGCTGGATTTCAGACTTGTGTGGGGCATGTAGCCCCTTTGTTTTGGTCAATTTCTCCCATTTGGAATGGCTGTACTTACCCAATGCCTGTACCCCTATTGCATCCAGGAAGTAACTAACTTGCTTTTGATTTTACAGGCTCATAGGCAGAAAAGACTTGCCTTATCTTGGATGAGACTTTGGACTGTGGACATTTTAGTTAATGCTGAAATGAGCTGAGACTCTGGGGGACTGTTGGGAAGGCATGATTGGTTTTAAAATGTGAAGATATGAGATTTGGGAGAGGTCAGAGGTGGAACGATATGGTTTGGCTATGTCCCAGCCAAATCTTATCTTGAATTGTAACTCCCACAATCCCCACGTCATGGGAGGAATCTGATGGAAGGTGACTGAATTATGGGGTCGGGTCTTTCCTGTGCTGTTCTTGTACTAGTGAATGAGTCTCATGAGATCTGATGGTTTTAAAAACCGGAATTTCTCTGCACAAGCTCTTTGCCTGCTGCCATCCCCGAAAGATGTGACTTGCTCCTCCTTGCATGATTGTAAAGCCTCCCCAGTGTGTGGAATTGTAAGTCAATTAAACCTCTTTCTTTTGTAAATTGCTCAGTCTTGGGTATGTCTTATCAGCAGTGTGAAAACAGACTAATACAGAAACACGTGAAGGAAATGCCAGAAACTCGAGACTGGAAAGGGAAGGAAGGGGTGGGGACAGGGTGGGGGATGACACAACTCTGGTATTTCTTTTTGCATATTTTGTCTTTTGTTACTATGTTAATGTGTTGCTACTCAGAAGATAACATAGAGTCAACAAGGATGGGAGGAAACCCTAAAGTGGAATACAAACAAATAAATTAACCTAACTATATTTTAAATTGATAGCACACACTGAAAATACAAAGAAGAGAAAAAAGAACCAAGTTTTTTTTGACTCAAGAAGTGTTTTGACCAAAAACTTAAAGACAAAAATAAATAAAAACAAATACTGAACTCTAGTTAGTAGAAATAAAAACAAATATTGAATTCTAGTTAGTATAACTGTTTTTGCCGTAGTTCAGGTTAGAAATTCTAAAAAACTACCATGTATCCTAGGATTGAGGAGTAACTCAGTACATTGTGAATGAAGGTCTTGAAGAGGGAAGCTACAAACATGGAAAGGGCCCTAGGGCGCTGAAATGAAATTGGAGACAACAGTATCCCCTCATTTTATTTTGCTTTTTGGAGCTTGTTAGAGTGTAACTGATATGCAGTAACTGCTAAAGTACAGAATTGGTAAGTTGTGACATTATGTACATACCATGAAACTATCACTACAATCAAGACAATGAACATAGCCATCACCTGTAAAACTCACGTCCCTTTGTAATCCCACCCTCAAATACCCCATCACCAGACAACCAAGCCACTTTCTCTCATGACTGTGTTTTCTAGAATTTTATGCAAATGGCATCAGAGTATGTACTAATCTTACTAGTCTGAAAGTCATCCATGCTGTAGCATGTATCAATACTCTATTTCCTTTTATTGTTGAATAGTGTATGTGTGTGTGTGTGTGTGTGTGTGTGTGTATATATATATATTCTGAGATGGAGTCTCACTCTGTTGCCCAGGCGGGAGTGCAATGGTGTGATCTCGGCTCACTGCAACCTCCACCTCCCAGGTTCAAGCGATTCTCCCGTTCAGCCTCCCAAGTAGCTGGGATTCCAGACACCTACCATCATGCCTAATTTTTGTATTTTTGTAGAGACAGGGTTTCACCATGTTGTCCAGGTTGGACTCAAACTCCTGACCTCAGGTGATTCACCCACCTCAGCCTCCCGAAGTGCTAGGATTATAGGTGTGAGCCACCAAGCCTGGTCTGTTGATTAATATTTGATCATACGGATATGCCGTGGTTAATTTAACTATTTACTTGTTGATGGACATTTGATTTCTACATTTTGGCTATTACTAATAAAGCTGCTATGAATATTCACGTCCAAGCCTTTGTATGGACATATTTTCCAGTTCTCTTGGGCAAATACACATCCAGGACTGAAAAGGCTATATCGTAAGGAAGGTGCATGCCTAATTTTTAAGAAACTGCCAAACTGTTTTCCAAAGTGATTGTGCCACTTTACATTCCCACCAGGCGTGTATGAGAGACCCAACTGCTTCACATCTTTACCAACACTTAGTATGGTCAGTCTTCTTTCCTTTTAGCCATTCTAGAGGGTGTGTAGTGGTGTCTCATTATGGTCCTAATTGGCATTTCCCTAATAATTAATAATATTAACAAGTTTCATATATTTATTTGCCATCTACATATCTTTCTTGGTGAAGTCTGTTCAAATTATTTGTCCATTTTAAAAACTGGGTTATACATTTTATTTATTTATTTTTTGACATGGGGTCTCACTCTGCTGCCCAGGCTGGAGTGCAGTGGCATGATCACAGCTCACCACAGCCTCAACCTTCCAGGCTCAAGCAATCCCTCCACCTCAGCCTCCCAGGTAGCTGGGACTGCAGGTGTGTGCTACCACACCCGGCTAATTTTTTTTTACTTTTTGTAGATGGGATCTGACCATGTTGCCCAGACCTGTCTCAAACTCTTAAGCTCAAGCAATCAACACACCTCAGCCTCTCAAAGCACTGGGATTACAGACTGAGCCACCACACCCAGCCAGTAATTTTTGACTGGGTTCCAGACATTGTGAATTTCATCTTGTTGGATGTTGGGTATTTGTATATTCCTGTAAACTCTCAGGTGGAGCTGAAGCAGTGCTCACTCCAAGGCTGATCATTCTCTACCACAGAGGCAAGACCCCCTATTCTGTCCTATACCCAATGCCCCATGAAATATTTTTCCAGTCTTAGCTGGTGGTAACAGGCACTATCCCTGGCCATGGGAGAGCACCAGACATCTCTCCTCTAATTCAAAAAGTTAAAGAGGAAAGGCCTTTTCACTGACCTTAAGTAGTTTTCTTGCACAATGTGCTGGTCAGTATTCAGCTGAGTGCCAAAGGAGATTCTGCAGACCTGTGGGGTTCTCTCCCTGTGCAGAGCTGTCTCCTCTATCATCTCTTTTATGTGAATGCCAGCCACCCTGGCCTCCCCTGATGCTCAGCTCTGTTTTTTCAACAGAGGGTCTGCCTTGGACTCTCATCTGGTTTCTTCTTCTTTCTGTCACAGCATGAAAATTCTCTCAAGGCAGTAGGGCAGGGCTGGAGAGTTCAGTTCATTTGTTTCCCATCTCTCAAGAGACCACTGCCCTTTGGTGCCTGAAAACCATTGCTTCGTACGTTTTGTCATTGTTTTCATTGTTTCACATGGAAGGATAAATGTTAATCTGTCTTTGCTGGAAGCCAAACTCATGGTTTTTATAGACATAGAGATAGGTGTATCTGTGCAATTTGTTGTGCATATATATGTATGTATATGTATGTACACAACAAACACATACACACACATACATACATCTATTTCCTGATACTGTTGGCTACAAAAGCAATGACATACTAGCAGCAATGAACACTCTGAGAACCCAGATCCTAGTTCCTAAATACCATTCTCCAGGGCTCCTTGAAGAAATGGCTGATTCCAGGGCTGGCACAGAATACCAATTGAGCTCAGCATATATTAGTATACCAAGAAGAAAGGAGGTGCTCAAAGAATGGGGGGGACATACCAGAGGGACAAAGGAGCCTGCCTGAAGGAGCTCCCACCCACGAGGCAAATCTAAGACAATATGAGCATCATAATACCCCTACTAATGGATTACAGTTATGGAAAAAAAGAATCCATTAGTCCATACTGATCTAAAAATAAATTAATAAATAAATAAAGGAGAAGGAAAACCTTCCTTATAGTAGAATGTTAATCACCACTTGGCAATCACTGTAGTAATAACTGACTGAGGAAAGAATCATCAATGGATATTAAAACTAGTGGATAAAATTTGGATGAGAAACAGGATATTTACACAGTCTCAAAGCATATTCCTTGAAAGTACAAATTAATTACAAAGGGAAAAATATTAATGTTAGCATTGAGAAACCTGGCAGACTCCACCTTAATCTTGAAAATTAACTTGTACTAGGTCAAACCACCATGTGTCTCCTGACAGATGCATTGAGTAAGATACAGTATCACCTCTGTGGTATTCCTGCCAAAAAAAACAATGTATGCATAGATGGATGTGTGTGTGAATGATAAAGCAAAAGCTGAAAAATGTTAATAACTTAGGTAAAGGATATAGGAGAGTTCTTCGTATTATTCAAACTGATTTCTTTAAGTTTGAAATTACTTCAAACTATGAAATTAACAAAAAAATTAACCATGCTAAATAAAAGTCTTTCTGAAATGCTACACATAAACCTGCCTTCTTAAACTGAATGCCATAAGCAGCAATCTTTGGTAACTCAAGGTCATGACATTGTGAACACAGTGACTGCTAAGGGATCACTAAGCAGGGCTATCTATACTCCATGGTCTTGAGCAATTGTTGAGTCTACATCTCCTAACTTTTCTCCCTTGACATAAGTTATCAGCTTTCGTACTTCTAGAATGTCTGTCTCTAGCCACAAGCCTGTCTCTTTCCCTTATAATGTTACTTTAATCTCCTATGGTTGGAAAATCAGATTAATGTAGCACATAGCATGTAAAGTAACTGCCTACTAATGTTCAGGTAGTACACATCTATTTAAGAATTGCACACTTCCCATAAGTGGCCATAAGTACTACCGTTTTCCAAAGTTTCAAATTCTTCTAGGTCTTCAGAAAAGAGGCGTAAATACAATTTTTTAAATGTCAATATATTTCAAATCTAAATTTTTGAAGAAAAACGCTTCTGGCTGAGAGCCCTCTATGCACCATCAGTTAAAGACTGCTACTGCTAGAAACAGCCTACTCATTTTCTGGTCCTAGCATCCCTGTGGCAAATGTATCAAATGGATTACCTGATTTTTTGAAAAGCTTTTCCAAAACATAATCATCATTGCTCTGTTCCTTGGCCTCACTCTTGTTTTCACTATCTTGCTTCTGGTAACGCCTTTTCTTCACCAGGTGTGGAATTCGAGTTCCTTCAAACTTGGCGTCTCTGCAATGCTTAGGGTTCTTAGGCTTTTGCTTTGGTCTCAGATGTTTCTCTAGGGTCTCTTCTTCTGCCACACTATGATGTTTTGTTTTTGACTTGTGCTTATAAAAATTATTTTCCATTTGTTTATTCTCCCAAAAAGATTCTGTTTGAGCCTGGCTGGGTCTTTCTCTTTTGTAAGAAAGACCCAACTTTTCATCAATGCTTTCATCACCAGATGGCCTAGAAGTTTTGCCTGTTCCTGAAGAATTTGAACATTCCCCATTTCCACTAATCACTGACGACTCTTCCGGTCCAGATACTGCATTTGTCTCTTCTCCAAGCCTATCATTGCTAGCTATATTACTACTCATGTGAGGGTCATCTTTCAAAGGATCACTTTGATTAGAAGGTACTACATTTACTTCAGCTCCTTTAGCCTCAGATTTCTCTTCAGATGATGTGGCATCATTTATTGATATGTTAGAAGCAGGGAACTTTTTGCGTTTTGGAACATCATGGTCTGCTCCAAAGGCTGGTTGAATCTTTCTTTTTAGATGGCATTTGGGTGTCTGAACATCTGATCCAGTTCCTGTAGAGGAAAAACACCGCTAATACTATATTGTATCATCTTGTGCAACTGATTACTTTAAATTAAATGATTTTATGTAATACCTGCAAAAATCGCACTTGTTTCAGTGCTCTGGGATGCATCAGGGCTAGTCAGAGTAAATAGCTCATAGAGATCATTGGATTTGAAAAAACGCCTTTGTTTTGGGTCTTTTAGCACTCTATTTGTCAAAAACTGCTTGAAGATTTGTCTAAAAAAATAAAAGATAAGCTGGTATAAAACAATGTGTAGCTCTACCTAAAAATTCAAGTTATAAAGCAATATAAGAGAGATACGATAACAGCTGCAACATGAATGGCTAAATAATCCCCCAAATTTTCAGCCTTGGAAAATTACAATTCAGAAAATATATAATACATCAGTTAATCTCCCACATCTTGCAGAATTTAAATTAGAAATAATACCTTATTATTTACACCAAATGAGCTTTTTCAACCTCTAAGATCTAATCCATTTCAAGAAACACCTTTTCACATGCCATCATGTGGCTCATAGCCTCTCTTAGCCTCCCTGACTTGAATACCAAGGGTCCTGCCCTGCCTAGAACTTTCCTATCATAGGGCTCAGCAAACTCTCTTACCTGGGCTTTGCAACATCTCCACTCTGACCTCTCTCTTCCTGCTCCCACCTGCAGGTCCACACTCTGCTGAAGCCCCATGCCACTGCCACTCTGGAACAGGCACCTCCACCAGCCACACTGTCCCTCTCTGTCATTTATTCTCCTGGCTAAAGCATAAATCTGTAAGAGGAAGCTCTATTCTCACAGGATCCAACTCGTCCTCCACCCTCACACAACAGTCCCTTGAGGAAGATGTAATGTTCCCAGCATGTGATGAAGGGCATAGAACTTCCTATAAAAGCTGGGCTATGGCTCAAGGAGAGTCTGTGGTGGGGGAGTGGGAGAAGCTGGCAATGTCTTGATTCTACTGTTGAAGTTACCACTGTCTAAAATCCCCTAGTCATTACAGAAAGACAGAGGAAGAAACAGGCATCCTGTCAACTTCTTTGTAAGGGGCATCAGAGTCAAAGACCGCCAGAACACCCACACTGATCCCACCTGCACAGTATGTGTAAATACCAATATGGTAACATTTAACCTTGTCACTTTTTAAAATTTTTCTGAAGGCAACACACCATATAGTAGGCAGAAATATTCCTTTCAAATAACAATACGAAGTTTACACGTATGTGATTCTTGAGGTAGAATAAGGTACAAAAATTATCAGGTTCAAAGACATTTTCTGACAACTCACAGTAAGCCATCTAAGCATATTTTAAAGGGAAAGAAAAAATACAAAACAAAAACCAAAACCTTAACTTATAGCAACTATTATTCTAAGATGTTAAGACTTTTAAAAACAACACTTTGGAAAAATTCCCTGCTCAAGACTCCAAGAGCGGCCGTCGTGTGCACTGACCGGTGGTAGATCTTTTCTTCAATGGTGCCTGCAGTGAGGAGCCTGTACACAGTCACCTGCTTCTTCTGGCCTATTCTCCATGCTCGCTCCCGGGCCTGTGGCAGAGAGAGACCTCTCAACAAGAATCCTTCCGAATGACAAGCACTGACTGTAAGAAACAAAGCTAGCCGGTCACAACCTTTCACTCCCAGAGTCAGAATTTTGACTCATGACGTCAAGTACACCTAAGGCCTACTCAGGAAAATGAAGAGCCAGTTGACAAGACATCTGTACTTGAAAAAAATGTTTGTAACTATGCCTATGTTCTTTTTGCCCCAACTCTAGGAAAGAATGCTATGGATAAACTGTTGAAGATGGTTCCTGTCCACGTGGCTCTGAAGGGTGTCTTCTTCCACGTTGAAGAACAGTAGACAACCAAAATGTGAAATGTACTCTGAAGTCAATCAGAACATCAAAGAACAGTCACAAGCACTAACCATGAAACTGTATTTCTACTAACATATTCTTTTCTTAAAAAAATAAAAAACAAACCTGTGTGTCTGTGCTTGGGTTCCAGTCGGGGTCATAGATGACAACTCTGTTTGCCCCTGTCAGGTTGACACCTAAACCGCCCACCCGCGTGGTCAGAAGAAACACAAATATGGATGTGTCCTAGAGGTAAGACACACAACACTGAGCACACACACTTAAGACCAGTTATAGCTCTCAGCCTCTGCCTCCGCATACTGTACACACGGAACTACTGGGCTGTTCCCAATACAAGGAATGGTAATGTCCTAGAGACCTCTAGTGAATCAAAATCTCATTTCACACCTTTTACTTTTAATATTTAATAGAAATATTGAAAAATTGGGTTTTTAGGAGGAAAATACATTCTGTGGAAAACACATTCTTTGTTTGAACACACACATGCCCACCCCCACCCCCAAATATCTAGAAGTGCACAGAGTTAAAAGCAACAAGTCTTCCCTTAGGCCCCCTCCCAAGCCCAGATGTCAATGCTGCTTCGGTGGGTAAGGGTGTGGATACGCTTAGTCCTTTCCCTCCACGTACAGCAGCACCGCTCAACTTTCCTGTTACATTCACATGTTACCTCATTGTATCTTGTAATCAGTGGCTGTCTTGAAGCTATTGTAGTGGTACCATCCATCTTGAGATAGGTATACTTTTGGGCTCTAAGGAATACTTCAAGTATGTCCAGCATCTGTTTGGAGGTGGAGGATAAGAATTTGCAAAGCAAATACACATTCCCAGTGAGTGCTTCTCTATTTGTGTAAATGGTCACACCTTTCCCCAACAGGCCTATGTTAAAAGGAGTTTCTTACTTTAGGACAGATAAACAGAACTGTTAAAATAGTAGTTTTGGTATATCCGTATGGTTAATTCTTACTTTTGTAAACAGCCAAAGCTCAGGCCTAAACTCACTTGCAGACCAAAATCACATGGTGAGCTTTTTTAAAAAGTCAACTTTTAGATACCAACTCTAGAGAAAGATCTAAACTCCCAAAGAAATCAGCAGACTGCCACCTCAGCATCAGTGGTAGACTTGCTTCAGAATCATTACTCTAGACTGAATCCCATTTTGTGAGTTGATGGCTGTCATAAAAAACCAGCCTGTTTCCTGTCTGAAGTCTGTGCACTCACCTGCCTTGACTGAGAAAACAGCAATACTCGCTGACCCTGCTTGTGCCATATTTTCAACAAAGATTCAACAACAATCATTTTCCCAGAACGTTTCCAGTACCCAAACTGATCTTCTTCTAGTTCATCATCAGGAAGACCTTTGAGATTCTTGGGACCTCCAGAAAAGAGATCAGGGTGGTTGCAAATTTTCCTTAGGGCTATGAGTCCGGAGAAAATCTATGATAAAAAAGACCATATGTACACTAAGATGACCCCATGTAAAGTAAGATTCCCTAGGCAAGGAGGCTATTCAACCTATAACACAGACTAAAAAACAGGTCTCCACCAGTTTCTTAGTTTCTTCTCTAAACACAGCATTATCAGGAGCTGGGAGAAATTAACTTTCACTCATCTTGTTTCCCTGATAGAACAAGTTCTCGGAAACAAAAAAATTCTACTGGACTGAACACGTCTACAGGGGTCATATACAATTGCTGACAATTCATTTTCTCTCACTAGAAAAAAGGCATGCTGTTTACAGCATTATAAACTTAATATAAAAAAGGAACTTGCCTTTTAAATATAGATCAGAAATGTCCTATCAACCTAAACTTGAAGACATCAGTCATGTGACTTATCAAATGCATTTAAATATTACACTTCTAAGTACCTCACTAAAAGTTCTGCAGTTTAATATGAGTCAGAGGTTGAGGATCCATTTACCTTTAGACTATTATTATATCCGAAAAAAAAAAAAAAACTGCATGAAAAATGCACAAATCGGAAACATATGAAGTATGGTCCATGCAGAAGGGCACAGAAGATGAGGGGTGAGTGCCCCTGGCCCATCCCCACAAAAGAACATTAACAAAACTTCAATAATGGGGCTCTTCCAGCCTTGAGAGGATGACTCAAATCAAACTCACTGGTATAAAAGCTTGAGCAAAAAAGGAGAAATCACCATTAAGCCAATAATCAAAGGGTAGGGTAGCTATCACTAGTAAACAGCAGTTAAACAGATTAACAATAAATGATCTGAATAAGTCAGGAACACTGGCAAACCTCCCCAGAGTCATCCGTGACTCATTTTTCTTCCTTTCAATCTGCACTGTCCAATGCAGTAGTCACTAGTCACACGTGGCTCCCGAGTACATGAAGGGTGGCTAGTTCAAATTGTGATGTGCTGCATTTGTAAAATACACACCCAATTTCGAAGACAAAAACAGGAGTAAAATATCTTGCTAATCATTTTTAATTTCTGATTACATATTAAAATGTATTTTAGATACATCAGGTCAAATAAAATATATGATCAAAATTAATTTCACCTGTTTCTCTTTTTCCTTTTTAATGTGACTACTAGAAAATTTACAATTCCAAGTGTAGTTTGCATTCTCTCTCCTGGATAGTGTGATCTAGACCTTCTAACTTGGAGAGACCTGAAGAAGTTAAGGGGAGATTCATGGAGACAAACAGATGTGAATGACTGAAAAAACCTCCTGTAGCTACCAATAAGAAATGAAATAAGAAATTGTGAGAGATGGTTAAAAGAAATGAAATGACCTAATCACACTCACATTAATAGAGTCTTTTGGAGAAAACACTAGCTAGGAACTTCTGAATTCTGGACACTAGTAGAAAGAGAGCTTTCTCAGTATTGAAAGGAACAGAATCACCATAAATAAACTACTGTCCTACCCCGGGGACAATGAGTATTAGAGCCAGGGACATTTGAACTAGATTTATATCTGGTTCCTAATATGGCAATGGTTCATAAACATTTATTGGGGAATAGGGCTCCTTTAGGAAGCTGATAAAAGTTATGAATCCTCACGATCCTCTCCACAAGATATATAATTTTGGTCATAATATCTGGGAAAACCCAGTTATGTACCTGACACTTGCCCACCTACCAAGTAAGACCCTTGGAAGTAACAGTAACTGCACAGCTCGCAGCTGCATTTGCGTCTGGGTTCAGATCCACAGTGCACAGCTCTGCAACCTTCCACCTTCCACCAGTTACCTAACTCCTCTGCACCTTACGGCTCCAGGCCATAGGCTGACTGCACATCTACCATGCAGGACTGCATGCAAGTGAAGTGAGATGACAGTATGTGAAAAGCCTGGCATACTATAGATCCTAGTTTCTTTTCCTCCCTCGCTTCCCTTGGTCCACAATTCATTTCTCCAGCTTCTATTTTTTAGCTGACCTGCATCTCTCCATTGAGAATCCTGTAAACTTCTTTGGAATCAACGAAATTTTGGTAGACTTTATGCTGCTCATCTGTAAGACGGCAAAATAAGACCTACGGAGGGGAAAAACAAGGAAACTATAATTTCAAAAAAAAATTAACAGAAATAATTAAAATAGCAACAAAACTTCTCGATCAAAAGAGCACAATGCATGCGATTTTAATGATATCCCTATAATTAATATGAAAACAACAAAGGGTGATAATACTTCTCACCATACCCTCCTCACCAGCCCCTCCATCTCTGTCACTCATCTACCTCCAGGGCCCACCCCACAGTCCCCAAAGACTGGCTTCCTGCTCACGAACAAGTTCAGGGCCCAGGTGCACAGACCGTCCTCCATGTTAGCCTCCAAGTGCTCAAACCATCCCACCTCCCATGACCCATGCCATGCTCTACTCGCAGACCTGACCAGAGACCACAACCTCACCTGGAGCTCTCCCTTTCCTGGAGCTCTAAGTGCAGGCCCATGAGTTACCAGACTCACCTTGGAAGGCAATCCCTATCCTCCCAGCCCACTGCACCAACCACTCCATGCCATTGTGCTCTGTGACCCTTCACCTCTCAACCCTCCCCCCTTCGTGAAGTCCACTACCACCAGTTACATTCCCATGGATGCTCATTTAGCTATCCCTCTGTCACCTACCTGGACAGCTTTCAACTCCCTGCATCTTCCCTGTAAACTTCCAAATACAGGTCAACTCAACCATCAGTCTTCTGTAGGCCTATGGTCAGTGCCGGTGCTGCTGGAGAAAAGCTCCTACCCGGCAGCTTCCTGCCATGGCCTGCCCTGCTCCAGGGGGTCCTCTACGCATGCCCACCCAGAGCCTTCCATAAGCCCAGAGCAACTGTGCCCATGCTCCTCACCACCTAAGCCACCCACACCTCTGTCTCAACTTCTACTTAAAAACAATCAGACAAATAAAAACAAAATGAAAATCAAACCTGAACCTACCAGGATCAGGCATGATTCCCTGGTTTTCACTCCCTAACATGTCTCTACTTCTGCATCCACCTCATCTTCCTTTATTCCCAGAGAAAGAGGTTCCTGAACGGGATGGAAGGCAACGCTTCAACCTCTGCACTGCATCTGAAGACCCACTCATTCTCCTCAGTATAGCGTGCCTCACCTGTTAGCCTCCAAGTGGAAGATGGGGGCTTCCCTGGGAAAATAAGGTACAATCCCCACCTCCACTTCCTCACCTCCACTCACTCCTGAAGCCTACACACAGAGCAAGCCTCACATGCACCTCTGTTGATGTCACTGAGGCATCACTCATGACTTCCTAGTGGCCAAACACACTGGGTCCTTACCAGGTCACCCTACTCACCTTTCGACGCCCAGGCCTTCACTTCTGCTCATGCACCTGTCTTCGCCAGCCTCCCCAGTCTTCCCAGCTAGCTCCTCCTCTTCTACCCTCCTCCTTGCTCTCAGCCCTGACCACACTGCCCTCCCTGCTGTCCATGGAGGCCCCAAAGCACTGCCACAGCCCACCATCTGCAATGCTCTGCCTTCAAAACCTATATGACTTGCTCCTTCGCCTTCTTTAGGCCTCTGCTCAAGTGTCAGTTCATCAAAAGTCGTCTCTGACCATCCCTTATAAATGGCCCACTTCCCCAAATCCTTGCCCTCAGCATTCCCAGCTTATCCTTCAACCCTGCTTCATTTGTCTCCACACTTACTGCTGCTACCTGACATCTTCTAGAGTTTCTGTGACACTCTCCCTCAAGAATAAATGTGGGTTCCCACAAGAACAAAACTTGCTTTGTTCACTGCTATATCTCAGAGCCTAGGATCATGACAGGCACATGGTTGGCACCTAATATAATTTGTAGCATGAATGAATTAGGGGCTTAAGGAGAATGGAGATGTTTAAAAGAGCAATTGTAGGAACCCATGTGTCAATAAGAGGGAGGTCAAAGCCTGTGGACTAGAGAAGAATCCACTGAGGGCAGACGCCACAGCAGGCCTAGCCTGACCACAGTTCCAGGATCATACCTCACCAGACTCACCCACAGTGGAGAATCAGAGTGAAGAGAAAGGCACACTTATGCTTTAGGAATGCTTTGTTAACTCCTGGATTTACAGACCTGTTCATTTTTATCTGGCAAAGAAAGGCTCATCTTGACATCTGACTTCATTCTCCGTAGTAGATATGGATTTATGGTATCTCGTAATACACATGCACACTTGTAAGCAGTTTTGACCTTTAAAAAGAGCAGAGAAGAGAACAATACCATACATGTTTAAGGAATGTATTTGTTCTTACCTCTCAATAGATTCCATTCCTTAAAAAAAATAAAAGAATGACCAACAGCTGTACAAAGTCAGTGGGAAATGATTGCAAAATGGTTTGAAAAAGCTAGCATAAGTTCCATATACTCCAAGGGGTGGTAGCTTTCATAATATTATCAGTTAAAAAAATTATCTCATTAACCACAATGTACAACAAAACTGATAATTTTGTGCCTTATTTCTCTTGTACACTTTCTTTTAATTATTACTGTACAGTTAAACCCTAAAGTAGAGACTTATTGGGTTCTTGACCACCACCCCTAGGGGAAAAACTGCTTTTGTACAAATCTCTGTTTATGATCTTGTATTCTCCAAAAGCTACAAAGGCACTCTGTAAAGCTGAAGATCAAAAGCTAACTCTAGGGAAAAGCTGCAGTGATGGAGCAGCCAGCCAATAAGCAGAGATTAGTGCCCACTGGAGACTTACAAGAGTAAGTTCAACAAGAGCCCTCTGATCCTAGAAACGAAAGGTCACTCTGCCCTAAAATGCAGCATATGGTTCTGTAATGGAGCACGGCCACATGAGATGAGTACCAAATATACGCAAAAAACAAAGCCCCACAGCCCAGAAAACCACTCCCTCTGCAATTCACTTACAGGCAAAGCAGTCAATAAATTATTGCTACTTCAAAAAAAACTAAATAGGCTTAACAACTTAGTAAATTACTATTTCATGGAAAAAATTCCAACCAAAGTTTCAATTTAAGAAAGTCAGTTGTAAAATGAATGATAATAAAAAAGAGCTTGACCACACAGAAAAAAAGTTAAAAAATTAACTTGTTAAAAAATATTTTTAAAGAATGCTAAAAATACCTCACTCATGCACATATATGTATGTGTGTGTATCTGTTGTGTGAATGCATGTGCATAAATATTAAAATAGGCTTTACTTGGAATAATACATAAAAAAGCTCAACTAATCAATGACTTTTATTTATATATAACCCCTTAAATATATCATTCAGACATTGATAAAAATCACCTTGAAGATGATGATGAGGTACCTATTACTATTTCTGATGCAGAGATGATGAAATTTCAGAATTTAAAAACACAGTCCCACCAAGGAAGCATGAATGTACAGTCTATAAAGAAAACTGCCCCCACATCCTCCCTCCGCCCACACCCCCTTCCGCAGAAGAATGAGCATGATGGTTGGAGGTGCCGGTTAACTACACCAGGGCTAGGCTGGGGAGTGGCTGGGCTGTGGCTCCTGCTCTTTCCTGCATGCCACCCCACGGAGATGATCTTCTGTTTCACTCCCAACTGGCTCCCAGTCTGTTTCTCTGTTCATAAAAATACAAGGTGGGATCCAGCTAGATTTCTCTACCAATGCTCACATCCCAGTGCTGTGGAAAACGGACACCTTGCTGAGCATGCCCACGCTACTTCCTACTCTGACAAGGAAGAGTTCTGCCTCTTCCTGAGCACAGTGGCCTTAGGCAAGTCACCAGAACGCTGGGAATCAAAAACCTTGTGTGTGGAATGAAGAGGGTCAACTAGGCATCTCTGCAGGCTCTTCTCAGTTCTCACACGCCCTGCCCCAGCTGAGCACACCAACCCCAGCAGCAGTCTGTATTTGGGCTGCTGACATGCTCCCCCTCACCTTCCTCACCTTTCAGGCTCCAGCTTAGTCATCCCTTCTCCAGGAAGCCTTTCTGAGCTCCAAAAGCTCTGACACTGGGCATCTCCCCTGATCACAGTTGTCACTGTCCTGTACTGGGACCAGGTTTATTTGCCATTTTCCCCTGTGCCCACCCCTACTGGACTGGAAATACCTTCATGGGAAGGTTCTGGTTTCCAGCTCCTGCCATCATTTTAGCACCAGCATGACAGAATAAATATCGGCACACAGACTATCTTCTTAGAATTCAATAATGCATGGCAACATGGTCTTCTTTTTTTTTTTTTTTTTTGAGACGGAGTCTCGCTCTGTCGCCAGGCTGGAGTGCAGTGGCCGGATCTCAGCTCACTGCAAGCTCCGCCTCCCGGGTTCACACCATTCTCCTGCCTCAGCCTCCCGAGTAGCTGGGACTACAGGCGCCCGCCCCCTCGCCTGGCTAGTTTTTTGTATCTTTTTAGTAGAGACGGGGTTTCACCGTGTTAGCCAGGATGGTCTCGATCTCCTGACTTCGTGATCCTCCCATCTCGGCCTCCCAAAGTGCTGGGATTACAGGCTTCAGCCACCGCGCCCGCCAACATGGTCTTAAACAAAAAGGAGCAAATACAACCAATGCTCTGCTTTCAAAGATCTCACCCGCTAGGAAGGGCAGAAAGACAAGTACACAGATTCCTGAAACAAGAACTTCAAGGAAAAAATAGATCATAATGACATGTTCTCAAATCATTTTTCTATAAATGACTTATTAATGTCAAAGGAGAAGTGGTAACTTCACAGAGTTTAGATCTGGCCAACACCAACTTAAAGTAATCAGAGTTAACATCACCCATAGTGGGACAGACAGACAGCATGTTCCTCCAGATACCACGCACTGAGGAAGACACATCATTTCTGTGATATTCCTGGTCAAAATGTATAACCTGAATCCAATCATGAAAAAATGTAAGGCAAACCCAAACTGAGGTACATTCTACAAACTAACAGGCCTATAGTCTTTAAAAATGTCAAGATAATGAAGGGCAAAACAAACGGTCCCAGATTAAAGGAGACTAGAGACACAGAAACTACTGGAACAACTGACAAAATATGAGTGATTATAGACTAGATAACAGACTCCTATCAATGTTAAACTTCCTTCTGATTTTGTTGCTTACACTGGCTATGTAAGAGGCTATCCTTGTTCTTGGAAATACACACTGAAGGATTTGGAGAAACGGGCATCAGATCTGCAACCGGCCCTCAGATGGTTAGAAAACAGTAACTTCAGCTGTGAATCTACATGGAAAGAGGTGCGGGAGAGGGAGGGGAGGAATAGTAAAGCCAATGTGGCAAAATGTTTGCAAAATGCTAATCAGTGAATCTGGGTGAAGTGTTAAGAGGGTTTTCTTGTTTGTTTGTTCTTTTAAAATTCTTACAACTTTTTGTTAAGTTTGAAATTATTTCAAAATGAATTTTTTTTAAAAAAATAGAATGGTATAATGGGAGATTGAGAGAAAGAAGAGAGTCCTTACAAAAGTTAGCTGAAAATAATTCAATCTCAAAATGTAAAAGATGTTAAAATTGTTTCTGACAATCTTTTAATCTTAAAGGTCTAAAATTCTTTTTCTAATTAAATATTCCAAAATACAAGAGCTTCTCTTTTGGTGGAAAGTCTCATCCCTGGCTCAGCCATGACCTGGTAGGCACAGGCCAACCCAAGAAGGGCTGCCAAGAAACCCTGCCTCCCATCCAGGCTGTAGCCTGCCCTACAAGCCACAAACTGCCCTGTGGCTAACTTTACCTCCTGGCATTTCTGCTTGTGACCACCCCATTCCATCAGGTGCCCGGGCCTGAAACCTCAGGAGTCAGTCAGTCATTCACAGCAAGCTTAGCCCCTACTCCATCTCTTCGATCCTATCAGCCTCCAAACCTTGTTTGTTCTGCCTAAAAATGCCACCTGAGTCTCCTGCCCCACCATCTTTCTCAGACCACCACCCAAGATCAGGTACAGGTCCTCATGGCCCTCACCCCAGTGGTTCCTGCATGTCACTCAGTGCCAGCCTCCCTCCTGTGACTACCCTGTAGCATGACGAACCCCTGAGAACCAGCATCTTCCAGAGTCCTGCTCAGACACTTTCAGTAGCCCAGTCCTCCCTGAGTGCCACTGCTTCCCTTTCAAGGCCCTTCAGTTCTGGCATCCACAGCTTTCTAGCTATGCCCCCACAAGCATCTCTGATCCAGTCAAGTGGGTCTCTTCACTGCCCCCAGCCACATATGGTGGCTGCATTCACACTGTTGCCCTAATCAAGGATGCCCTCACTCTCCATGGCCTACATTCCCAGAATCAGGTTAAGGGCCATGTCTCATTAAATCATCCCTGAACAGTCTGATCCTCCTGGTGTTTCTAAGTTTCTCCACCACTTTATAAGATGCACTACCCCAATTTGCAGAACTAAATTACATGCTGTTCCAAATGATTTGTCCTTGTTTCATAATTTCTAACTGCTCTTCTGACCACATGTGATATCTTTTTAAAATTTGTTGTCTGACTAAAACATCCCAGGAACAATGCCAAAACTGTTTAATTTCCATTAAACAAAGAGATATTTTATTCTAGGGCTTTCCTCTCTGTGAATATTTTTCATGATGTTTTAAGTAAAAAAATTCGATCAAGCAAAAATAATTTTGTGATTTTTTTTATCAGATACTAATTTATAAGCCTGGCCATCTTTCTCACATTCTGAATGACTTGGCTACAAATTATAGTATTTAATAGGAGCATTTTAAATACTAAACTGCCAAAAGTATTATCATCCTAATATATTACCTGTACTGGGGAAGCATTTGAATATCCCCCCATGGTGATGGGGACGGAGAACTGCTCCATAAACACAGGCAACGTGCCTAACTTTCCCGGGAAGATGAAGTCAAAGAGTGACCACAGCTCTCGGAGGTTATTTTGCATTGGTGAGCCAGACAGGATGATCCGATGAGGGGTGCGAAACTATTTGAGGAAAGGAAACACCTTTTTATTAAATTTACCTTTTAGCAATCACCATTCCTACCCCAAAACGCTCCTCTGCAATATTATTTACACATTTACTCATTATTCTTGCATCATTTTGGTACTCTCTAAAACATACACATTTTATGCAATTACAAATCCTTAATTACATTTAGATGAAAAAATTACAAAGAATTTTTTCTTATTGTTGAAGCTGAATACCATAGAGTTGGGTTTGGTTACATTCTAACAACTGGCCCCTACAAGAGACACTAAATAACGTGAACAATCAGAATTAAAGACATGATCAAGGGCAAAAATAAGGAGTTCTTTGCATTAACGAAAATGCACATTTTAAATTCCTTGTGCAGTTGGCACAAGAAAAGATTAATAAATGTGTTACTAAAAGCAGATCATTTATTCTGAATTAAATATTCTTCTCCACCTGGAAATCTCCCTTGTTATAAGAGGTCATACCTGTTTGCAAGCAAGGGTGACAGCAGCATTTGGATTTCGAATTTTGTGTCCTTCGTCCAAGATCACATAATGCCAGTCATACCTGCTAATGTCATCCTGCATCAGTCGAATGTAGGAGTAAGATGTGATCAAAATTCCATGACAATGAGCAACATCTCGAATTAGTTTCTCCTAAGACCATAATAAAATGGTAAAGTCAGTTTTAAATAAGAAGTGACACCCTTTCAATCATGACACAATCTAAAGCACTTTATAAAAATGCATAAATACAAACATAACATGCACAATCATAGACATTATCAGCACTGGAAGTGTATTTGCTAACCTGGCAAGTAGTAAACAGTCATTATTGGGGGAAGGAGACTCTCAAAAAGATGACAAAGTTATAATACATATTTATATAAATATATACATATATTAAATTTTTATTTTTATTTTTTCAAAACATCCTTTGTGTCCATCGTTGTTAAAACAACAATGTGAATGGAAAATATATTAATTTAAAACAAAAGCAAGAAAATAAGAGAAAATCCAAAGACACACGGCAGACAAATCTAGGATCTCTAACAATGTATAACAGGAATTCCAGGACTGAGTGGAAAGGATATAAAAGCAATGATTTTAAAATGATAGAAAAAAAGCCAGTACAGTGGCTTACACCTGTAATCCCAGCACTTTGGGAGGCTGAGGTGGGTGGATTGCTTGAGCCCAAGAGTTCGAGACCAGCCTAGGCAACATGGTGAAAGCCTATCTCTACTAAAAACTTTTAAAAGTTAGCTGGATGTGGTGCCAAGCACCTGTAGTCCTATCTACTCAGGAGGCTGAGGTGGGAGGATCCCTTGAGCCCAGGAGGTCAAGGCTGCACTGAGCGGTGATGGCACCACTGCACTCCAGCCTGGGTGACAGTCAGACTCTGTCTCAAAAAAAAAAAAAAAAGAAAATGATAGAAAACAATCTCCATAAATGGAGCCGAGATTTGAATCTACAGAACAAAACATCTCCCAGAGTGTCAGGCAGAGACACTAAAAAAAAGACATATCTGTAGACGTAGCTTACTAGATGTCTGAATTCCAAAAATAAATAAAAACAGCCAGGCAAAGTGGCTTATGCCTATAATCTCAGCACTTTGGGAAGCTGAGGGAGGAGGATCTCTTGAGGCCAGGAGTTCAAGACTAGCCTGAACAACAAAGCAAGACCTGTCTCTACAAAAAATAAAAAAATTAGCAGTGCATGGTGGTATACAGCTGCAGTGCCAGCTACTCAGCAGGCTCAGGCAAGAAAATCCCTTGAGCTCAGGAGTTTGAGGCTACAGTGAGCTATGATCTCACTACTGCATTCCAGGCTGGGCGATGGCGCGAGATCCTGACTCAAAAGAGAAAAACACTTTTAAAAATAAGAAGAAAGTGTCATACATTCTAGTCAGAACAAAACAGAAAAAGAAAATATTCCCACAGAGGAAAAGGACTGCCTGCATCAGACATCTTTTCTGCAGCACTAAAAATGTCCGAAGGCAAAGAGGAAAATCTTTACAAGGAAAAGTGGTGACCATAGATTGTACATCAATCCAAACTAGCAGTCATGCTTGACGAAGAAAATAAACAAATTCCAGCTTCAGATAGGAAGGACTTGGAAGATCAGTCACCAACAGATTGGCTAGCTACCGTGCACTGTACCCAGACAGTGGAGTGGCGCAGTCGTGGACAAAAGGAAGGCATGCACAGACGCCGTGACCTGAAGAAAGACAGCAATGCTCCCGCCTCGCATCCTCACCACAGCCCATGCTCACAGCAGCTCCCCAAGGAAGGACAGAGGGGCCATCACTAACTCCATTTTACAGATGAGGGAACTGGGGTTGGAGATGGTATCTAATGTACCAGGTCATGCAGCTGCTAAGTGGTGGAGTCAGAATTCAAATGGAGAAAGGTAGCCAAATCCAAAGCTAGTACTACTGATATTAGGCTACACTACCTCCTACTAAAATATAAAAGAAAAAATTTAAAAAGAAGATTATATGTGATATACATACCATTTCTTAAAATAAATCATTAAAGCATAACAATAAAGCCTAAATATTAAACACTTAAATATGAATGAAACTGTTAAGAAATGATCTAAAATATTAAAAGGTATATATTTTTAAGTGTTACTGTAATTCCTATTTAGTTTCATAAAAGCTGCAGTGAGATTAAGGGAAAATAAAAGCGGACTAAAAATTCCACCCTCTCCAACGGTAGAATGGGACACAGGAAATTGATAGAGTTTAATTCTTAACCATGTCAGAAAAATATGTTAAAATACATTTGTCAAAACTTTAAGCTGATTACTGAGTAACAGTTGCTACTTCCACATAAATACTAGAAAATAAATAGAATGTAGAACTCTCAAACCATTACAAGAGAAAATAATAGAAAATAGCAAAAATCAGGACGACAGAAAACAGAAAACAAGATACCAGGTTTCAGACTAAACCTGGTAACCCACCACATGACAGTGGGTTATTAACAGTGAGACATTCCACTGGGTAAGGCAAAAACCTAGCCTTCTGTTTAAAAGAGACCCAAATCAGACTGGTACTGAAAGTTGTAATATGGGAATTATCAAAGATATATCAAAGAAATGCAAACCAAAAAAGGGCAGGATTAGCAATATAAATATGAAACAAAAAGGAGTAAATAGAAAGAGGGATATTTTATATTTTAATGGAGATGCCACAACAAGAAAAAAAAGCCATGAACCTTTACCTACCAAAAAGCGCAGCAATAAACACAAAAGCAGAGCCCTTAGAGCTGTCAAACTGACACACCCACAGCCTACCCAGAGAGCGGACCACAGCCTGAGAGTCAGATCAAAGAAAATAAAACATTTAAAAAGAGGATGCAAAGGATTTGAGTATCACCATCAGAGCTCCTTTTAACTGTGATCAGCAGCACTTTAGACTATACAAAGAATATTCAATCTTTACAAACACTCTATTAAGAAAAGATGAAATCAAAATGAGCAGTCAACTTAGCCTGCTAAAAAAGGAAAATAAGAAAATTAGTAGGATAAAAATTAGTGGGTACTAAAAAAACTGGTAGAATTGATGAAGCAAATAATAACCCTTTGGAAACACTAAACCAAACCAACCTCTGAAAAGTAAGTCAAAAGAACAGACTGAGATGTACAGCATCAGAAATGTTAAAGGAACACAATTACAGATGTAGAGAATACGAAAGTGTTAAACAACATACATGCCACAAAATCTGAACATTTTGACAGATATGATAGCTAAAAAGTTCATTGCCAAAATGGACCCAAGAAAAATCAGACCAACAGAACGAACCAATACTGAACAATGTGAAAAAGATGTTACACTCTTCTTACCAAAAGTCTACCAGACCCAAAGGGGTTTTATGAGTAAAGTAGGAATAGATCCTATTACTGAAATTGTTCCAAAATACAGAAAAAGAATGGATTCAAAATCATTGTTACAAGGCTAGCAAACCCTGTTTTCGAAACTGACACAGCACACTTACATGTGTGCATACAAGCCTCTAAACTAGAGATCCACCACTTTACAGATAAAACCTAGTAATATATTAACCTAATAAGGCTTATCACAGGAATACAAGAATAGCTATCAGGAAGCCTAACATAATTCATGTAATCACAATCATCTCATATAAATTTTATAAAATTCAACATCTTCAAAAAATGGTAATTTTGTATCTTCTTAAAGAACTAGAATTAAAATGTGTTTTAATTCAACAGAGTATAAAAGGGTACAACAAGAAAGGCTAAGAAAATCTTAAGGAACAAAATAAAGAAGGGATATTGTCTTCTCATGTGTTGTAATTCATGTAACATTCAAAGAGTTAATACAATTGCTGCAGAGAATAACCACAATGCCTGGACCTATTAATAATTTGACAGGTGTGTGCCATATTTTTATTACTATTATGACTACTCCTCTTCCATCTTCCCATTCACAGAATTCAACACCTGCACAATACCATATTGAAGGTCACACCTGAAAGAACCATTTCCTAACTTCTGACCTCACAAGAATACAGCAATAAACACCTTGGAGTGCACAACGGCCTTAAAAACACACATACGGGTTCTTCAGGACTCCCTCGCACCAGCCCCACTCAGCTGCTGGTGCCAGTGAAGAAGGCAGTCTGCCCAGAGAAAAACCGTCCACCTCCAGCACCTCACCTGGTCAGACCTACGACCTTTAGAAGCCAAAGCCAAAATGAATTCTGGACATCACCTAGTGTAGCTGGAGCTTTTCCATAGTTATCAAATGAGACACCAAGCTTCTCAAATGTATACCACTGGAATGATGTTTAGTTTCTTATGCTTGTTTAAGGATTGAAGTTTATTTGGAAAATTCTAAATACTTTTATAGGTATAGAAATGTTAGCTATAGAAATACAAAACTTCGACTGTGTTCAGGAAGATGTATTAATGATTAACAAGAATTTAAAAGATGCTTATGTAAAAAGAACAAGAAATTGTTCAAAATGTCCCAACCGAAAATATAATCTCCACTTAGCCACTGGGTAAAACCCCATCTAAGATCATTTATTATCACCTGATTCAATCACAGAATTCTATAGCTGCCTAGACTGGAGTTTCAATAACGGTGAATTGTTGAATATTATGGACGTCTCTATCCAAACACTTAAGACAAATCATCTCGGGCGGTTTCAAATTAAAAGCTTGTAAAATATGTAACCTCTCCTAGTTTTTGCAATTAATAGGGTACATCTGCAATTAGCCTGACTTACTGAATGCAGTGCTGTTGTCATTAAAAGATGTCTGTGAAAGTGCTGCTGTTATTATGCAGGCTCAAGAGACCAATCCCTCCTAGAGGGCAAACAGTGGACTGGTGGAAAACAACAGCCATAAATCACACTGTCAGGCGGCGGGGAGAGGAGTGAAGCACAGGCACATGAAGGCCATTCACGGGAAACACAGTACAGCCGCTTCCCAGGCAGGATTTACTGCACCTGTAATTAATTAAAATTTCCTTCAAGCTAAATCTTTAATAAACAAGGATTTGTGCTGACAATAAGGAAAAAAAAAAAGGGGCTCCAGCAATACAATTTTACAACATACCTCGCAGAACAAGCCCAGCATCTATCATGTCTTCTATCAGGTGTATACACTGACTCTAAAGTTAATAGGAATGATACCACTTTGCATTCTACTATAATTCGTGCACTTAGAATGTGTCTGAAATATTTCAGATGCTTGAGGAATAATGTGGCTTTTTTTTTCTTTTAAGTTTTTTACTCCCGTCTAGCTTTTTAAAAAGCCATGTCTTTTTGCTCTAGTTTCAGAAAACAGGCCCTTTTAAAGAACGTCATGTTGACGGGAGTTTCATCGGATGGCCAAGTTTTTGTGTTATTTGCTTTTCTTTTTTTTTTTTTTTTTGAGCCCTAGCAACATCAAACATCTGAAATGCAGTGTTTCTGGTTGTTTTAACAAATAAATATTAATCAACTCACATGAAAGTTGCTCTATACTAGAAAAAAAGATCACAAAATATAATGAGAAAAAGGAAATCTTGAACTTTTATTAAATGAGATTTCAAGTGATCATTAAAAGAGATTCAGAAGCCTAAAAATTTCTTTATCAGATTTCATCATTTGGTTGAAACTATCAGCTGTATATTTTTTTGCATGGCTGCTGGGTGTGCATTTGACAATTCTAAATTATGCTGCCAATCAAAGACTATTAACAAAGATAACATAGCATCAAAGGGTGAGAGAGGTGGGAAGCTAAAGGGCAATCTGGGGAAGAAGAATGGTAGATGTGCTCAATTGAGAAATTGACCATTTGATATTTTTCCAAATAAAAAATTGTTAATTTTTTTTTTTTTTTTTTTTTTGACTAGACTACATATGGAGTCAATCAGCAATGCCTCATTCAGCATCTTTTCTTTTCCCAACCTCTGAGGTGAAGAGGCCTAAATATTCTTTGTTTCTAACAACAGCAAGAATTACCTGAGTAAATGTTACTATTAGGGACCACAATAAGCTCTTCATACATACATATTAACCCAAAAAGTCCTCACAAGTTTACCAAAACTAACCATTTTACAGGTGATCAAATCAGGCTCAGAAAGGCAAGTGACTCGCCCAAGCTTGCAAAGTTATAAAACAGGAGATCCAAGATTCAAACCCTGGTCTTATAAGCATAAAACCAATGCACTTAAAACTGCATGCTCTTGTTGCTTCTCCCACTCTTATGCATCTACATGTCATGAATTGATTAAAATGAAACAAAACTCTTTAAATTACCTAAGATGTTACAGAACTACTAGAGCCTACATAGTAAAAAAAGGTAGGAGAGGGACAACTGTTTCAGAACATAAGCAATTTCTCATTATATATCTTGCAATAAATTGAAAAAAGGATCCTTAATCATTAAATAAACTTTACAAAGACAGTGCTAAAGATGTCACCACCTACTGTGAATTATGGGATAGGTATCACAAGACTGCCTTCTTTATATCTCTTCATTTATTATATTTTCTTTCCCCAAGAAAACAGTTGGCTTTTTAAGGTTAGTTAAAAACATTCTTTTTTTTTTTTTTTGAGACGGAGTCGCCCAGGCTGGAGTGTAGTGGCGTGATCTCGGCTCACTGCAAGCTCCGCCTCCCGGGTTCACACCATTCTCCTGCCTCAGCCTCCCGAGTAGCTGGGACTACAGGCGCATGCCACCACACCCAGCTAATTTTTGTATTTTTAGTAGAGATGGGGTTTCACCACGTTGACCAGGCTGGTCTCAAACCCCTGAGCTCGTGATCCACCCACCTCAGCCTCCCAGAGTGCTGGGATTACAGGTGTGAGCCACCATGCGTGGCCACTTTTCAAAATTTATGTCATACCAGCTACAACAAAGCATTTGGAAAATAAAGATAATCTACTTGAATGATAAAACAATTCTGGCATTATTATTCTTTTATATATTTCTCAACAGAAATTCTCTTCCCTTCCCTGTTCTGTCCAGCATTGAATGTCCCAATGTCAGAGTACCATCATTAAATTTAGACAGGACAGCTGGTGGGCACAGAAAGTTCACCCACTGCAAAAAGCAATCACAGCTGATAAGGAAGTCAGGCATTAGATGCTGAGTTAGAGGACGAATCACCATAAACAGAACTTTTGAAATATGAATAAGAAACACAGGCTCTATTGTAATTTAACACACATGTAAGCCAGCAGGTATGCATGTGTGGTGACAAAGATCTGCACATACAGAGAAGATTGAAGGTGCAGAGGAAGCAAATACCCCTTCAGTAGTTGAATCCAGAAACCAAAATTATGATCTTAGAAATGTCAATATCAAGGCCTATGGAAAGAAACTATTAATACATTTTCAATGTGTCATCACCACAAATAATAAGCCAATATTAACATTAATAAAAAGTAATAAACATAGCGCTTCTAAGCAAGAATATAGTTTGATACATATAAAAGTACATCTTTTTGATCTTTTGCCTAACAGTTTACATCTTTAGCGATCTAAGATACTTTATAATGGAAAAGGAACAGTAGGAAGAGAGTTAAGAGTTTGAATAAAAACACAAGAAAACTGTAATCCTGTTTTTCCTCAAAAGTTAATTAAGAATCTTCAAGTTAAAGTCCTTGGTAAACTGTAAAACACTGAAAAAATTATTAACCACCATATGTATGCATGCGTCTATGAAGGTAAAACAACCTCAGAAGGTAAAACCACTGCAACCAAAAGTGAAATATCTCTTCTTAAAAGTTTGCCCTCCAAAGTTAAGGAGGCAAATTTCACCAAGTTCACTGTCAATTCTATTTCCATAATGAGTCCATGTATGTGGTTTACATGAAGGCAGTTCTTCAAACTATGGTGACAAAGGAACTGGAGGCAAGCTATGATCCAGGTAAAGGTGTCCAATACGCACACTTTACTACTCCAAAAGAAAATGAAAGGAAGAACTTTTTTTAAATTGCCTTTATAAGACAAACATCAGCTAATGAGTCCTGCTACAGGATTTTGCAGTACAAAACACTAAGAGATGTTAACAGATAACAGAAAAGAAAAAGGAACCACAAATGCTTTACAAGGATAGTGACAGGATAGTTTAAGGTTTGACAAACCATTTAAGGTTTGACTAGACAACAATCTAAACTGTTATTATCTTCATATTGCTAAAAATCACTTCTTTTTATAACTCACAGCATTTACCCTAATTTATTAATTATCTTATCCAGTTTATTTTCCACTTATCACTTAAAATTCTGGGCAAAGTCAGTTGGTTTTAACAATAACAGTGTAAGCAAAATTCCATCTTGCCTTACTTGTGCTACCAAACCATAGATTTTTCTGAGTCACTTCTATCAAAAGCTTGCTTTTCCATGAACACAAACACAACAGGAATCCTGGAGTTTTATGGTCCCCGTGAAACAACATCTGACTCTGTGAGGCAAACACCCCATAGCCCTTGCAGCCGGCACTGCTTTCCTGGGCCCTGAGAACTCACTCAAGAGCTCAGAAGACTCAGGAAAGAAAGAACTAGCTCCTAAGAGACTGCTGCTTCTCCTCAATAATGTAACCTGCAAATTCACAGTGAAACTGTGTGATTATTATTTATTCAGCAAATGCTTATGGGTCACCTGGGATACAAAAATGAATCAGACACAGTTCCTACTCAACAGAGCTCACAGTCTGGATGGTTGGAGAGATGAGAAGAAAAAAGGAAGAACACAACGTATCTATGCTACCCACAGGTGCACAGATAAAGCTCCTTTTCGATACTGTGATGTTACCAAACTATAAGTGAAGAAATACAACTGTCAATACATGACGATCAAGGATTCGGGGAACAAAACACAACTAAAAAGCAACAACACTTGGGAAATTCTCAAAATGGAAGGTTTCTTCTTTCACTCATCAAAAACAGATTTTAAATGCATATTAACAAATGCATTTACCAATTAAGAGTTGTTATTCTACTTCCGTATCCACTTTCCTAAAACTGTCTAAAGCCGCTAATGTCCAAAGTCTCCTTACTGGACGCAGCCACCTGCGCAACCAGGCTTGTGCCGTCTGAGACGATTCATATTTCACTGGACAACAGACATGTCACAACACCACCACAGACTGTTGGAACAATAAGACCTATATTCATAACTCTTCTGAAAACACAGAGCTCTAAAGTAAGTCAATAATAAAATAAATGCACAGGAAGAAAACAGGAATATACATTTGAGAAACACATGGATCAGAGAAAAACCAAATATGTAAAATGGAGGGCATTAAAACAAAACAAAAAGGTATTGAAATATTATGTTACCTTTTTGTGGGTATAGGAACCGGTTTCATGTAGAATTGCCACTCTGAATGGAGGCCACCACGTGTGAAATTCCTTCACCCACTGATGCATCACTGTTGTTGGACAGACAATTACAGTTGGACCCAACCCCTCAAACCTGCATCCAAACGTCCAAGAAGAAAACAACCATGAAAGAGCATATACAGTCATCAACTGCTCAAAAGATCCCCCAAAACAACAAACAAAAAACTTAGTTCAAAAAAAAATGCTAACTATGGATATTTATTGATATTTTCTTTAAGAAAAAGTTACTGAGGTTAAAACCCAGTAAGTAAAATCTCTATAATCCCATTGATTAATTAGTGGATGTAGGTGTTAAGAGAAAACACTAAATAATATATTAAGAGATATAACATCTATAGTAACATAAAAGAAAAACAAATATTATTTAACAAAAATACTCTTCTTTTCCCTTCTACTACAGATTAGTGAAGTTTTTATACATTAGTGAAGTGTTTCTTAACCTAACTGAACATAACAGGAGCTTAAATTTGTCTGAAGCTTTATAGTCTAACAAGAGTTTTCAATCCACAGAATTTCAATCTCGCTGCCCTAGGAAGCAAGCAGGCCAGAAATGCTCCACTGATGCGGGCTCAGAAGGCTGGCATGGCACAGGTGACACGGCTACCAGGGGACAGAGGGCTGCCTAGCAGCCAGTCTTCACTTACTGCAGCCTGTCCTCACTACACCACCCTGCCTGCTCCTCCACACCACAACAACGCCATGGAGGAGCACCGCAGTGGGTGTTCTCTCCTGGGAAGCCCACACCAACTGAGTAGCACTGCTGTGTGGGCAGGTGGCTGGGCAGCAAAATCAAGAGCCTTAAAGGCACTCATGCATTGACCCAGCAATCCCAATACAAACATTTACACAATGGGATACACACTGGAGCATTCTTTTTACTGCAGAAAAAGTGGGCGCTACCTATGTCCATAGAGAAGAGGGAAGCTGAATGAACTATCCCATTTCTTTAAAAAGCATGGGCCAGGGGTTAGGGGCACTGCCTGGATCTGAATCCCAGCTCTGCACACATTGTATGATCTCGGGCACACTATTTAACCTCTGGAAACCTCAGTTTTTCATTTTCAAATGGGAATAATAACAGTATTGATCTTATAGGGTTATTAAGAAGATTAAATCAGTTAACATCTGTAAAGTGCTTAAAACAGGACCATACAGAAAATACTGTAAGATTCTGTTAAATAAGATGGAATATCATATAACTATTAAAATCATTTTGAAGAAGTTAATAAACTAGAAAAATGTTCATCATAATTTTTAAAAATTATTTATGGAATCATCCCAATTTCCTTAGACATAGGTATAGGTGGAGAAACTGGTTGTGGCCATTGTCTCAACATCCACTCCCCTCTCTCTTTCTCCTGAAGAATCAGATTTCTGCAGGTGCGCCTCCTTCTTCCTTCCCGCAGACACAGTTTATGGGACTCTGACCACTGCTTGGCTCAGGAGCAGGAATCTTGACTCATCTATAACCTGTCAGTGCATGGTACCCCCCTGAAACTCTCACTAGTCCTGAAGCTGGCCTGGCAAGACTGACCAACTTTGTAAGGAAGAATTACATTCTAGGTTGGGAGAGACTTTTCTCTCCTGGTCTTTCTAGCTACATGTACAGACCAATGGTTCCTGGGTTACAGTGGTAAGGAGATCTAATGATTACAAGGAGACCTGGCCTTAGGCAAAAATTAAAGTATTTGGGTCCCTGAAGACATCACTGAACTGCTGATCACGCTGTGTACCATATATTTGTGAATGTTTAACCCAATTTGAGGCCAGGTTTCACTTAGGTGCAGTCAAATATCCCGATACATCCTACACTGTATTCCCTGTCCGCATCTGCACTCCTCCTGCCCTTCTGGGACAATGGGACAAGTGTCCCTTTTCTTGTTTGAGACCAATCCCTTTAGCTAAGCTCTTGAGCTTATATCTCCACAAGCAACGCTCCCATTAATGTAGCCAATTTATCTTCAGTCTTGCTGGAGGTTGGGTGCCAGTCAGTGCATAAGATGAAAATTAAGCAGAAGTCAAAACTAACCATGGCAACCTCTTCAACAACACTCAGCTCATGTTACAAGAGGCAACTAAAAACTGGGACTGACTGAGGGCATCACAGGGCCACACGCCTGCCTTTCACACACCTGGAACAGAGTCACTGCACTCTGCACACAGTCATCCCTCCCCTCCACTCCCTTTCCTGCCCCACAAAGATGTTGACTGTGTGAAGCCAAATGCACATACATTACTCCACTGTACACACTATCCCCATTCTATCTCACTAATTCCCACAATTTCAATTCTAGATGCTGGTAATGCCAAATCTAGGTCTCCAGCCTAGATTTGGAGTTCACTCTTCTGAACTCCAAACCACCACACACTAGATATCTCACTGCCGATATCCTCATAGCACCACACACCATCCTCCCTTACCTGGCTGTCTCCCATCCCCATGCTTCCAAACCAATGGACAGAACTGTCTCCCACTGTCCAGGTGCCCAAATCAGAAACCTAGGCCTCATCCTTGAGCAGACCTGCTTGCTCTCCACCATGAGCAACCTACACTGAGTTCACATCATTTTTACCTCCTGAATCCTTTCAGTCACAGTATCTCTCCACTTACACTGTTACTATGCCAGTTCCAGCCACTCTCCTCTCTCATCTGGCTTACTGCATCTTCAAGGACGATTATTTCAAACAGTAAAATTTGAATTCCTCATCCCCTCACTTCAAAGCCTCTAATGGCTGCCCACTGCTCTTGGGACAGAGATTAAACACCTGGATTTGGCCTACGAGGCGACAAAGACTGACCTCTGCTCGGCTCTCCTGCCTTACCTCTCACTGCCACTATCCTAACACTTGTTCCTGTGGCCAGGAGCCCACCAGCCTGAACCATCTTCCTTTCTTTCAATCGACCTTCACCTTGTCCTGGTTACCCTCTTACCCCTCCAGCTACCTTCTACTCAACTTTCAGATCTCTAGCTTCCTCAACAAAGCCTTCCCTGTCCCTTTCTCCGTAAACAAGTTAAGGACTCTTCCTTAGTGCACTCCACATTAACCCTGTCATAACACAAATCACCTTTACTGTAACTGTATGAGATCCTCCCTAAACTCTGTGAGAGGAGAGATAATCTCTTCTTCAAATGATCTCAATGCCTAATGGCAAGCAATTAAAGAATACTGGCTTTATTAAATTAAAACATTTTTTAAGATTGGAAGAAAATATATCAACATGCTAAAAGAGATTATTTCAGAGTTGGGGAATCATAAGTGATTTTTGTTTCCTTACTAGAGCTCAGAAATAAATGATTTCTGAACTTAAAACAATTTTTGGCCGGGTGCAGTGGCTCACGCCTGTAATCCCATCACTTTGGGAGGCCAAGGCGGGTGGATCACCTGAAGTCAGGAGTTCGAGACCAGCCTGGCCAACATGGTGAAATCCCGTCTCTACCTAAACTACAAAAATTAGCCGGGTGTGGTGGCGAGTGTCTGTAATCCCAGCTGCTTGGGACGCTGAAGCATGAGAATCGCTTGAACCCGGGAGACGGAGGTTGCAGTGAGCTGAGACTGCGCCACTGCACTCCAGCCTGGGCGACAAGAGCAAGACTCTGTCTCAAAACAAACAAACAAACAAAATACAACTTTTACAAATAACTAAAGAGTAAATCATACAGTGCTTGAAATATTAAAAATCATCTACTATACAACTGAAAAATAATCTGTAGTTCTATAGAAAAATAACGAAACTTTGGTCAAGCCCTAACTTAGATGAAGCCTACCCTTATACTCCAATGTGACAAAATACCTGTCTACTTTGAAACTCTCCCTGCCTCCAGCTACAGTCACCACTGTCCCTGCCCTTCAACTGGGTGGAAAGGGTCAGACTACAAGAAGCCAGAGGCTACAGGAGACTCCGACACTCTTCCTACAGAGTTTCTAAGCTATGCTCCTCACCAAGACAGGGCCTCTCTAGGCACCCCTCGAGCTCCCTGAGGAGAGTGGGACTCTGCCCTGGCCCCTTCCGTGGCAGCAAGCCTTTCTAAAAGGATTAAATGCACCAGCTTCTTTCTGTCCTCCAAGGGGAATAAAAGAGTTATCATCAATATGCACTTAGCAGGGATTAGGAAACAACCAATCAAAAGCTGTCTAAAATATTTTTACAACAAACTCACATTCAAATAAGCATAAATACATGTATATGTTTTTTCAGGTTATACAGTATTTTTTTCTCTTTTATAATATGCCTTCTGCAAACTGCTACATTGATGACTCACATTTTGTTATTTAAGGCTAGTATATTCTTCTGGCTGAACATCTATCTGGCATTATTATGATGCCCTTTAATTTCTACCATTTTCCCTCTAGTAGAAAAATTTGGAGATTTTCATGCTGAGTTGAGATCCAGAAGCAGACCTAGATTGTTGCTGGACCACAGCAGGACAATCAACTCCATTAACAGTCACGTCGTCAACTGAACCACCCTTTCCTAACCCCTAATTCCAGTGAGATGAACTTGAGTAATGGCTAAGTGTACTACAGTGATTAGCATCAATTACCAAACAGACTACAATTCCTTTAATCTTTGATTACCATTGATTACCTAATAAATTTAGGGCAAGCCAATAGCTCCATGGTCAAATATATCAACCTGCAAGATGGAAATCTGCTAGTCATACCCAGAACTTACCAGGAACAACAAAGTAAAATATTTATCCTTGAAAGTTTATTACATTTGGTAACATTATAAATTAACAAAATGATATCCAAGACTTTAAAAAATTAACTTGTTTGAAAAGTCAAATTATTTCCTTTTCATTGTAAGATGATAGGATATAAGCATTGATAGTTAATTGATTACAGCTGTTGTTCATTATTAGCCTTGACTTCATTCTTAGTAGGATTGTCACCACCCAAGAGAGCATGTTTTAATTTTTAGATCAAAACTACACTGCAGGGATGACTTTAGGTTTCCCAGGACCCGAGCATTAGACTCCACGTAAGTTTGATGATAATAGGAAGGGAAGCAAAGAAAAGAAATGGGAAATAAGAAAATCCCAGAAACCATTTTAAGGAAAGAAAGAGTCCTAGAAACCATTTGGAGGAGTTTGGGGTAGTCTAGTTACCAAAAACACCCAATAGAGTTGCAGAAAACAAGCCAACCAAAGAGCTTATTTGAAACAGAAAAAGCATATTATTTGAAACAGAAAAAGCATATTAAAAAAATAAAGTCATAGATAAGACAACACTAAATGCCCACTTTCAACTTCAACTTTTCCTTAGATCTGGAATGTTTTCACATGCTTCCAAGCAAAATGTAATAGAATTCTCATATTTGAAAAAAAAAATCCCCTGCTTCAACATAACTTCCTTGTAACAACAACAAAAAAACGTCTAGCATTTAAAAATCTCCGAGTGTTTTCTTCCCCTTCCTACATCTATATAAATGCAACTGGGGTTCTAAAATATTCTAAAACTCCAAACACTCCTCACAGAAGTATTGATCTGCTAACTTAATGAAAAGAGTAAGAAATAAAAAGAAAACACTAAACTCTAGAGACTAAAACAAGATCTTGACTCAGTTTATGGTTCATATTTGGCTCTCTACTAAGCATTTTGCTGCTGATGAGCTGGAGTGTAGGAAGAACTTTGGGCACTTGCTGACTTCAGGCACAATGACACTACTGTAAAGACTATCTCCAAATCACATGTAGTGAGTGTCTGAGGTTTCCAGGGCACACCCCTCTAGCAAATACCTTGCTCTTACTCTTTACATAAGCCCTGAAACACAAGGAGCTTGGACTTATCTGGGTTCAATATGATGGAATATCCTACATAATTTACCTACCAATATTTTTACCAATACCAATTTCTATAAAGTCAATTTACAGTTTAAATATGGAAGTGCTCATAGTACTTTCTTTCAAAATAAAGTATTTCAGTCCTACCACACCAAATAAATTAAATGCTTATCCTTCTGGAATACAAAAGCCTTAATAGTTTATTTAAATTTCTAAAGAGAAGAAAGATTAACATCTAAACATAGTTTTCTACCATTTTAGGTAGTCACTTAGGTTTTGGCCTTAGAATTTATTACATAAAGTTCATAGATTGGGAAAGGCAGAAAGCACAAGGATCAGACAAGTAACTTCATTCAAAAACAAAAGACAGAGCAAGCTATCTAGAAATGCTATCATGCACACTCATTATAAAGGAAATTAGGGAGAATGGCTTCTTCAAAGCTCCAGCTCTCCCCATGAATAGACTTTGTACTTACTGTAATGTTCACCTGGTCTCCTGCCAGAACAACTATTTTAATGCAAAATTTAATAAATGGAACTAAAGGTATTATGTCTAATTTAAAATTCCATATTGTGTAAACTATTGATATTAACATAATTGAGTTTGTAAACAATCCATTTGTAGAAGCTAACCTTAGACATCGTATTGACCCAAAATATCTAGTGGGGCTCATCTGCAAAATGAAGCATCAATGCCTGGAATTCATTAAAAGTGTTACATGTTTAATTTCTCCTGCCCTACAGCTCCATTGTCTCGTAAAATTTTTCCTTTGATGTCCCCCACTAAAAGAATTAAAGGAATATTGTAATTGAAATATCATCAATAATTCACAAGACCCTCCTCCACAGCAATACATCTGATGAAATATTAATTGAGCTCCACAGACTGACAGTCTGCAGAGGAGCACTTGCCTGTAATTTGAACCACGAGTCCTGATCTTGCTGTAGCTCAGACCTGCCAAGAAGGCAATTATCTGGATGGTCTTGCCCAATCCCATTTCGTCTCCCAGAATTCCTCCTGCCTGCTGGCAGTGCAATTCCCACAGCCACCTAACACCTGTCTGCTGGTACCTACAACAACAAACACCAACAAGAAAAGAGAAAATGGCAAATGGTGGATAATACAGATCATAACAGAAAGTACTCATGAATTAATCATTTGGCTAGGTTCTAGTACCAGTCAGAGAAACATGCGGGATGTGTGTTTTACATGAGTATTATATTTATAAGGTCATACATTTTTGATCACCTAGGCATAAAATCACAAATTCTTCTTTACAAAACGTTAACACATTTCTAATTAAACTGATAGATGGGGTAATTAGAGACTATTTCCTTTCTTTTCAACATTAGAAATAGCTTGCTAAACAAGCATAAACTTACTATTTTTTACTCACTTTCTGGGGGAAAAAAATCCCAAACATTTTTCATAAAGTTCCATTAATTTTTCTACAAAACAGAGGCACTAATGTTTATTTTTTCAATCTGAATAGCATCAAAAAAGCAGGACAGAGAACACCACAACCTACAGCTTATACTGTTGAAAAGTCATTTGGTAATCATATTATCTTTTAATAGAAAAAACTAAATTTTAAGGTCATAAACAAGTCTGAATAAATAGGGCTGCTCTCAAAATTAGGACATAACAGATGATTCTGTCATATTACTAGCAGATGCAAAAAAGAACAGTTTAAAGACTCAACAATACAAAAGGTCTTTTTAATATTTCAAAGCAGAAATTGATTCAGGGAGTTTACCATAGGTATAAAAAGATCATAGCTATTAAGATTTTAAATAAGGAATACGGGCCAAAGAGAAATAATTTAAACCACCCTCCGCCCCGCAAAAAGTAGAAGTTAATATTTTTCTTTCTCCATCAATGATATGTTTAATCTAAAACCTAAAAATAAAGTTAAAAAAGGAAAAATACAAAAAAATTTTCTGAGAGTGGAAGAAACACTTAACAACAGGGAATGGTATGAAGATTATATCCCAAGTTACAAAATCTAAAGCAAATACCACTTGAATTAAAAGATGATGGGTTAGATGAGGTGGCTCATGCCTGTAAATCCCAACACTTTGGGAAGCCGAGGCAGGAGGATCACTTAAGCCCAGGAGTTCAAGACTAGCCTGGGCAACACAGTGAGATCTCATCTCTACCAGAAAAAAAAAAAAAATTAGCCTGGAGTGGTGGCACATGCCTGTGGTCCCAGCTACTTAGGAGGCTAAGGTGAGAGGACCGCTTGAGCCATGGAGGATGAGACTGCAGTGAACCATGATTGCACCACTGGATTCCAAACTGGGCAACAGAGTGAGATCCCATCTCTAATAAATAAATAAATAAATGATGCAAGATAAAGGATTTTTTTTTTCAAAGAAAATATCAAGGCTAATGGGCTACCCATCTTAAAATAAGATGGTTTTGTTGTTTTGCTGCCCAAATATTTACTATCTGGTACCTGGTATGTCTACCTAAAATCTCATTTTGGACTTCAGCTCATTTAACTGGTTTTATTTAATCTCCTCTCAGTAAATATATCATAATTAACTTTCTCCCAGTATTTTGCAAAGCAATTCTAGAAGTTTGACTCTAGCTGTTCCATTATTACCTATTACATAATGAAAACTCTGAATGAGAATTTTGCTGCTTATTAAGTCTGCTAATTATAATACACACACTGGATATGCACCTTGGAGAAAAGGACTAAAAATCAAAACACGATGAAGTCTAGTACAGATATAAGATGGTTCAATTTGGGAAGAAGGACAAATTCCAAAAATATGTGGTATATAATCAGCGAATAATGGCTACCACTTAAGGAGCAGGCTGCTGAGGAGGCACAGGCCAGGTGGTTTGGACACAGCCTCACAATCAACCTGCACAAAGGAGATTATCAGCACACTTTATCACTAGGAAACAAAAGCTCAGAACGGTTAAGTAACTTGCCAAAGGTCACATTGCTAGAAAAAAATGAGCAAGCCAGAGCTGAAATCCAGAACTGTATGTTTCCAAAGTGATTCTAGAAATGATCTAGACCAACAGTTGTCAGCCAGGGGTAATTTTTCTCCCTATGGGACATTTGGCAATGTCTAAAGACATTTTTGTTACAACTGGAGAAGTGCAATAGTAGAGGCCAAAGAAGCTGTTCAATATCTGATACTGCACAGGACAGTCCCCACAGCAACAAATTATTTAGCCCTAGACATCAATTGTGTCAAGGTCGAGAAACCCTGATTTAGAACAAAAGTTGGTTCATGAACTGGCTACACTAGAATAATCTCAACTTTTGAAAAAGACATACTGCAAAAAGCTCTCCAAAAAAACTGATGTGCAATTAGTTTCCAGAATCACTAAATTCTAGTCAATTGACCTCTTTTTGCTGAGATACAGAACAACCATGGGACCAGCTCCTCCAGTCAGGGAACAAAATCTCCCAGTGATTATTCTAGTGTATTATTCCTACACCACACTGCCTCCATCCTACATGGGTCCAACAACTCTTCTTGCTTGGGGCTCATCAACTTAATTAAAGTGGGGAGAGTATGGAGAGGAGCAATTGAGAAATTATTAAAGGAATGGTAAATAGCATAGGATCCCTGAGAGGGGATCTCTCAGCAGGAACCTGAGAGGGGGTTAAGACAACTAGATTCTGTGTGGCCCAGGAGAGGCAGCATACAATGTGCTGGATGTTTCCTCATCTACAAATCTAATCTTTGAGGGCTTCCAAACAGCATGTGAATGTGTTTACAAGAAGATGAACAGCACTAAGAAAATGACATTAAAAAAAATATCTTACTAGGCAGCATGTAAGTCATATCTCGAGTAGGATCCCTAACAACTAGGGATAGTTACAAAGACAGCAAAGAGTGGCTCTTTCTTTCCACACAACACATGAAGGCCCTCAGATGGTATTTAAAGGAAATTCACTTGCAGATTGAAAGCACTAGCCACACAGCTGGTAGATGGTATACATAGCTGGTATTGCTAGATGAGGAGTAAGCGGCCTGACTCAGGTTTCAGCGGTGCCACTAACTAACTTTGGTTTTATTGCTTTACCTTCCTAATAATAAACAGTGTAAACCAATTACATAGTTTAAATAAAAACATACTATAGAATCTAGTTTTCAAAATTTTTGAAAAGCATATAAAAATTACTTTTTAGGGACAGTTAAAGATTTTTGTAACTATACAACATAAAAAATGTATTCTGCTATCCCTTGAGACTGAGGCATCACTATGTGACCACAGACAATTGGTGTGCATTGGCATTGCCACACTAACCCAAGATTGCATTTACTAGTGTGGCTGAAGGTAAGCTCAAAAGATTGAAGTTTGTCATTTGACTGCTAAATTAGATAAACAAATGTACTTGCTGGGCAAACTTTCAAAACAGAAATTTAAGTGTTAAACATTATCTTGCAGAAAATAGTACTTAAACGGCTAATTGTACCTTCTGACTCCCTTGTGTGCAACTCTATACCCTGTTAATTCAATTCCATACAATGCAGTAAATACAGTAAAAAATACATCTACAGTTTAAAATTAAATTGGTCCCGCTAAAATGTAATCATAAAAGAAAAATGGAGACTATCAATCCTGTTAATTTTTTTCATACAGCAAAAGAAAATGAACAGAAGTTTTATGACATTTATAAAATATTTAAAATCCTGTTTTTGCAGAGATTAAAAAACACATTACTTTCCAGGAATGTGCAATTAAGACTAATTTTTAAAAAACAAGTATTATTTATATTAACTACTATAGAGTTTTGTCAATACACTGAATCCTAAATACTTTCAGTAAGCAAAGTTTAGTTCTATTAATTGTGAAATATCTTTGCTAGAAAATCTGACATTTATACAAAAATGCAGACTCAACTTGATCCTTGAGGATATTTGCCAAATCACTTACTACACATACACAGAAGCATCCTGTCTTTTTTAAATCAATTTAATCTACAATTTGGGTGTTCCTTTTGCTAGTACAACACTGATGGTATTTGGCTTGTTTCTTAATAAACAATCACTTTAGAGAAAACAAAAAGAGTTGCCAATAAATGTGGCCTTTATTTACCTCTCCATAGTTAATTTTCATTTGGGAGAAGCAATAAACAAAGCAACCACCTCTCTGCAAATATTACTACAGATTCGGATTTCAACTTCTGCATGGCTGTTCCTCTGTCCAGTTAAAGCAATCACAAGTCACTTCACATCTTCAGAGTTTGGCTTTCTATAATGTTTAGTGGGATAAAATAACTACTCTTCGCTCTCCACTCCCCCATGGAGAGAAAAATTAAAACTATAATATAAGCTCTTTGAGAGAAAATATAAAGAGCATGCTGTTTTTAAGTAAACTTCTTCCACAAGTTTAGGGCATGGCTGACAACTGAATCTATAAAGGAGACTAAACTTAATCATCTCAAAGAAAGAACTTTGCATCCTGCTCCCAACTACAAATTGATTATACAAAAGAGACAGAAAGAAGCTATGTAATGGTTTAACTTCCTACATGCATCTAAGAAGCCTTCCTAAAGTATCTTGTTAAGTAAATCCCAGGAGTGATGAGACGGAAAATGTTCCTCAGTATTTACATTCATCACGGGAGACCGGCCAGCCCTTAGAGATGACATGCATTCATCTATCAGGCAGCATCCGGTCATCTCCAATGCTTGGCCACTTACACATGAAACCTGGCTTCAGATAGCAACTTAATCGTCAAGGTGTTGCCCATATCTTCTCTTTTGACATTAGAATGACATCCTACATAAAATATTTAGATGCGCATTTGGTCAGCTCAAAAATATTATACTCTCAGGTACAATATAAGACACTCAAAACATCTCAAAAGTTTTTTATTCCCACATATAAGAAAAAAAATCCTTCCCAATATTGATTTTAATATGCAACTCTTCCTATTAATCTGATTTAAGAAATTAGGAGTTTGGCACCTTAAAATTACTAAGAACAAAAAAATTATTCAACACAGATGGCTTTTAAATGTGTTGCTTTTAGTCTGCTGAGACAGGTCCATATAGATTCATCAGTTTACAAACATACCCAATGTACACTTTAGTCAATTTATTATCATCCAATTTTAATGAACAGCACGTGGCTATAATTTCATTTGACAGTATCTGTTTTTGCAATAAATTGCTGCAAGTACCTTCAGGGCCCACAGGTAACTACTATGTAATTCCTAAAATGTTAATTTGTACATAATGGCTTGACAGCAAATAGAAAGGAAAGAACACATGGTACATACTTAAAAAGCTTTTTGAACAGAAAACCTGGCACTTTAAAACCTTCGTCAAATTCAGCATCGCTTTCCTCAGAATCATCCTCCAGCTTCAGACGTTTCTCTTTGTCCTGCAGTCTCAGTTTATTCCATCTCCTACCATAAAAATAAAAATCGTATTTCCATTATTTTGATCACAAGATAGATTTAAAAAGATAGCTCCTGATAATGTACAAGAAAAAACGGGCAAATTAAAATGGTCTCTTAGGTTAATGCTGCCATTATTACCCAAAACACGGATATTCAAAGAGGAAAAACAATTCTCTTCTCCGGCCATCTCAATTCATTTCTTATGTAAATTATTACAGCTGCTCTAGAAATATTTCTTTAAGGTCTCATTTCATTATCAAAACTACTTTCTCCTCTTCTGGCATACCCTAAGGGAAAATTTCTCTGCTAGTTCGTAATACATGAAATTAGTTCTAGAAAAGATTCAGTAAAAATTTCAATATAATTGAGTGCCTTCACAACAGCAATACTATATGACAAAAAATAGATTTTATTTATAATTACTGTTTCTGTGCTAAAGATATGATAATCACAGCATAAAACAACAAAGTACCTTAAACATAAAGCAAATTTTGGGTCAAAAATCACTGAATCAAGTTCACATTACTGATTACTTAACTGGGGGAAGAGGCATCAGCAATATATAAGCACTGATAGTGCTACCACTCAAAAAAATGTGTTCACTGAATAAAATCTAAGTTACAAATTTAGTAATATACTTTCAGATATAAAATAAGGCAAACACTTATATTTCAGAAGGAAATATATTTCATCTAAATATCTGAAAGTCTTAGCAACACACCAAGGTTGTGGAGAAGGTGCACCCATTTAACGAGACTAATTTTGCATTTATATAACTATAATGGACCCTAGTTGTCATGAGTGGGGAAAAAAAGCCTCAAATTCTATTCACTTTCAAAATAAAAAGATGACTTTTTTCATTTGGCATGGTGCAACTGATGCTCTGAATTTCACAAAATGGTGGAAATGGAATAAAACAATAATACAGAGAAATGCTTTCAAACTACAATTAAAAAAAAAAAACTCACAGGAAGTAAGAGCGGCAACACATATACAGCATTTATCTGCCACTGACTATGCAAGAGTAAGAGAGAATGTCTGAGGCAAGGCAAGAGAAAATGAAAGGGTAATACTACACATGCTGCCTGGTCAGAGGTATGGTGTGTTGTCCATTACAAAACCAGCACAGAGCCCAATGCTAGTATCTGAGTAGCTGCTGGTGGGCCTTAAAGCACATCCTCTGATAAACTCTTGCCTTGTTGAAAATTTCAACTCTTCAAGGTAACAAAAGGAAGGGCTAGCTGAAATTTACTTGTGATCAATAAGAACTGGTGAACTGAAATTGCACTGCACAGTAGTAAAGGACCTATAAATAAGATCAATGAAGCACTGTTGGTCATTTCCAGAGAAGAACAGTAAATGGAAGAGGCAGTATATGGCTAAGTCAAGGAAATAGCTATCGTCTGACAATAGTTTAATAAGTGATACTCTTTTTATAGAAAAATTTAATGTCCTTTTTGTGCTTAACTTCTAAAGGCAATCTCTTCTTCTCCACTGGTATTTTTCTTCCTTAAAAATTATCACCGTCCAATGGACAAAATGAAGCATCTCTAGGTGGCTATGAGTCTTCTGGGTTTCATGTTATTTACAAATTTAGTTAAATGCAATGGTGTACAACAACCGTTCTTGACAGGGAGCAATTCTGTCCCTTCAACCCCACCCTGGGGTAATCTGACAATGCCTAGAGATATTCTTGGTTGTTACAACTGTGGAAGGAGTCGGGAGGATATACTACTACTGGCATCTTCCATGTGAGTCCAGGTATGCTGCTAAACATCCTACAGCACACAGGACAGCCCCCAAACCCCCCAGTAAAAAGTTATCAAGTCTCAAATGTCAATAATGTCAAAGCCAAGAAGCCCTGGCATATAGGTATCCCTTACTATCAAAACTTAGAAACTAAACAGATATACTTTCCTGATACACATATCTGAATTCTTGTTACTCACTCTGTAATTCAGCAATCAAGCAGTTTACATAATGAGAGAGTCCTCAGTATCAAAACTATGAACTCAGAGCCAAACTTCTGCATAACAAAGGATACTTGTATTTAGTAAACTTGTGGATAACATAAACGCTGGAAGAATCACAGCCATTTAAACATACTTCACTTTGCAATTTCTCCAAGATAATTTTACGGAAGGAGAAATAAAAACACCAGAATATATTGCCTTTAGAAGTCTGGCACAATAAGGTCATTAAATATTTTACATACAGGGTATCACTTTTTAAACTTCATTGATATATGACGACCATTTCCTTAGACTTAGCCAGTCGATCTTTGTGGCTGTTAAATTTCCCACCACATCACTCTGCATCGAAAAGATTCAGCTTCCTCCTCCTCCCTCCCTCCTAAAATATATAGGCATCTTGTCACCACAGAACTCAGCACCTAGGAAACCACATAAGCCACTACAGAAATGATTGTATTCTAGTGCCTTCCGCTTCATAAAGAAAGATGAAAAGGGCCAAACATTTATTCAGTTTGGCTAAAGGATGACTAAAAGTGGTGGGGAAAATCATTATTGCCTACAAGTATTTGTATCATTGTGAAGACAAATCGTCCCAGTAGAATTATACACATATTAAAGACAGAAAATACCACGGTTATAAAACCATACGTATACAGAGAGGCGAAGAGATTCTTCTGTTACATAAGCAATACTTCCTCATGTGACTTATCTCCAAAATAGACCTGACCATCTGATAAGGGTCCACTGAAGCAGCACAGCTGAAGGTGGGGCCGACAAGTACACCATAGCACACTAGGGAAAGGGGGAGAACCAAGTTCATCCACACATACACAGAAACATGTCTTCCCCATCCCAGATGCTGCCAAGAGACTTTAAGGTGCTCTCTTTAACATGTCTAACCAGCCTGTCCTGTAGTCTGGCAGGCTGAGCAGTCTGTCTGGCCAGCAGATGTAAAGGATTCTGTATACGAACACACTGGGTTTGACATACGCAGAAGCGCAGGCACAGGCACAAAAGTCTGAGCTCATACTGGCTGTAGTCAAATCCTGGTGCCATTTACTAGCTCATGAACCCTCAGCAAGTAACTTAACTTCGTCCGCATCTAACTTTCCTCCACTGTGAGATGGGGAGAACAGCAGCACCTACTTCACTGGGTTCTGGGAAGGATTAAATAAGGTGTCACATACAAAGCACCTTAGCACAGAACCTAGATTAGGAAGTGCTTAATAAACTGATACAGTATTATGTATAACCACATACATTTTCTGAAATCCTCACGACAACCCTGCAGCAGATACTATTATTATGTTCACTGAAAGAAGAAACAGGTTACATATGTGGCCCAATACAATGTGCATATTGCAATGTACCCTGACTGTTTAACAGAACTATCTGAACATGTACACCTGAACAGAAACTGTGATAGCTCATCAAATGGATGCTCAGTAAATTATTACGAATAATGTGTTCACCACAGGAGTAAAGACACCTAGTCTTCAGATGGTACCTGTTGGAATATCTCAATTTAAAAATTCTGTCACAAATTTGTAAATAGTAAACCGCCATTAGGTATGGCAGTCTTTTACGTGATAGTAACAAAAATAGATACAGATTGACTTAAAATTGGTAGGCAGTGGGTAAGAATTAAGATCTGGGCCAAGTAAGCTGAAATCTTAAAAATTAGAAATGACCTCAAAATGTCTAAATTCTGTTATTTCAATAAGTAGACCAGTTAACTGAGAAAAAGCAGAAGGGAGCAGTAAATAGTCCAATATTTACCCTTTTAGAAAACAAATAACTTTTTCATGTTCTCTATTCTCTCATTTTAAAAAATCCACACACGTAATAGTCACAGCTGCAGCCACATAAAACGAAGTGGTGGGCATGGTGTTCACTGGCTGTGTTTCTAGCTCCTCACAGAACTGCCAGATTCAGCCTGCTGTCAACTCCACTGGCAGCCAATTACAAGAGAAGCTGGGAACAAACATAAACCTAAAATTCCAGTCAGATGCAGACAGAGAAAACACTCCCTGGTTTCTCTACATTCATGCAGGAATGAGAATCTGGCCCAGGCTGTGGGGCCTGGGGCTGAGACTGCAATAATCATCTGTCAGAAGCAACTCAGACCCAGCACAACCAGTTGAACGACACTAGGAACAATGCTTCCTCCAGTTGTAACCTATTAGGGTGCCTTGTCAATGGAACCCTGAAAGCTAGTTGCTGTCATTTAATATATTTTAGAAGAATTTTCAGCACTCCGAGGATGTTCAAAATAAGTAAGTGGAAAGACACAGCTAGCTACCACTGTGCCATACCATGTATGCAGCCACCTCATCTCTGTGCACCTGCATTCCTGTACTGTCCCCAAATCCTTCCCCTAACACACATATCCACACATTCAGCAGACCTTTCATACCCTCACTCACGCAGCACCTCCACTCACAGAAACCTCCCATGACCAGCCAGATTTAGGCGTCCTCTCTTCTAAGGACCCTCCCAATCCCGTGACATCTTGGACACACCTGAGAACTCTACTATAGTGCCCATCAAGTATAGCATACTGTGAAATCCATACCAGTGTCCTCCACTGGACTGGAAGCCACCTGGGGACAGACACTGTCCTAGCCATTTTTATAGCACTAGAGACTGGTATAATGCCTCCTCATGGCAGACAGTAAGTGCTGAATGAATGAATGAAGTTCATAATTGGGTTAGGGAAAAGGAAGATACAGACAGAGAAGCATGGCTTGAAAATGGTCAAAAGGGGTCATCCAGAAATAGGTTCTGGAAACTTTCTGTTCTATCTCATTTAGAGCCTACCTCTTGCTGCATTTCCTACTCCTTCTACCCGTATGACTTTAAAGCACTGCTCCTAGCTCTGTCCACTGGATAAAAATGCTTAAGGTTCGTTACCAAAAAATGACCCACAATGAGGGTGGCTGTAACATCAGATAAGTTCTTTATTTAGAATCTTATAACAAAAAAGAGATAAGGAGAAGGAAAGCTTATTATTTTGAACAATAAAAAGGTAAATAAATAAAATAAAAATTGTGTGATTTAAGTCAGAGCTCCATTTTTTGGGTTCATCACCAGCAGGTGACGGTAAGGAGCCTGGTTTCTGCACGCCGGCTGACAGGAAGAACCAGGAGCCCTGAGTTTGGTCCCGAGCTTCCCCAGGATCAGGTGGGAAAGGCTGGGCAAAAGAAGTACCTTCTTATGAAAGAATTCTTATGACGGGAAAAAAGTCTAGCCTTAAACTGTCTTTACATTACTAGGAAGGAAATAGTGTTTTTGATGTTCCTACTTTCATTTGTTTCTTTAATATATACATGTAAAAGTCACAGCTGCACCCAAATAAAACAAAGTAAGTATGTTGTTCATCTTATTTTTTTCTTTTTCTTTTTTTTTTGAGACAAAGTCTCACTCTGTCACCTCAGCCGGAGGGCACTGGCGTGATCTCAGCTCACTGCAACTCCCACTTTCCAGATTCAAGCAATCCTTGTGCCTCAGCCTCCAGAGTAGCTAGGACTACAGGCATGCACCACCATGTCCGGCTGATTTTTGTATTTTTTGGTGTAGATGGGGTTTTGCCATGTCGGCCAAGCTGGTCTCAAACTGACCTCAAGTGATCTGCCTGCCTTGCCTTCCAAAGTGCTAGGATTACAGGTGTTAGCCAACATTCCCGACCCATCAAGGCATTTTCTAACTCCTAAAGCCCCTGTCAGGCTCCAGTGGTGGCCACTAGAGGAGAACCCAGCAACAGACACAGATTTAAGATAACCACAGATAAGTGAAAACAATGTAGGCAAAAGAGGTGCATTACAGGCCTTTAACTAGTAAGGGGAGGCCTGAACTTTAGAAAACATAATGTAACATTATTGAATCTGCCTCCTCCACCACAAAATGAGCCAAATAATGACTTTTTATGAGGACTAAATGAAATAATGTATGTACATTATACTTCTGAAACTATATAAATTTCAGATGCTATAACAGTTGGCAGATTACACAAAAAGATTGAGAAATTTTAATTAATTGCAGGTTAAACGGGAATAAAAAATAGCAAATGTCAAAACACCTATTGCAATCTTAGGCCAGCAGGAGCTCAGTTCAACCCCCAAGCATAGAAGACTGTCATGCCAGTTCACTCCATACTGGTCAGTCAAGATCGACAGGACATTCCAGTCAGGACATCCTATCATCCAGGACAGCAAGGAGGCTGGAAATCAAGCCAAAAGAGAAGACACAGAAGAGGTACAAGAGAAGGATCTGGTACATCTACCTCAGAATACAACCGTGAGAAACCACACCACAATCTTGACCTACCTACACTTAGAATCAAGGGGCATGTTGCACGGTTTGTCCCCTAGACAGATGTCTGGTGCCCCCTAGTGTGTTCAAAGGAGAAATAATTATATTTCTTCCCAATATTGATACCGTACTTATATTTTTATAGACATTTTATCATTAAGTGGGCCTTAAGCTTATTTTTAAAAATGTATAAAAGGTACCAAAAGCATAACATCAATAAAACAAAATTTGTAACAGCTAACGATTTTGCTATGCTTATGACAGGTTGAACAGTCCTTATCCAAAATGCTTGGGACAAGAAGTGTTTTGGATTTTGGAATATTTGTGTGTATACACAATGAGATATGTTGGGATGGGACCCAAGACTAAACATGAATTCATTTATGTTTCATATTCATTCATTATGTTTCATAACTTATACACACAGACTGAAGGTAATGTTATACAATATTTTCTGCATGAAACAAAGTTTTGACTGTGTTTTGACTGAGACCCAACATATGAGGTCAAATACGGAATTTTCCACTTGTGGCATCAGGTTGCTAAAACATTTTCAGATTTTGGATTTTCAGACCAGGGATGTCAACCTGTGGTATCAATTGTTAAACTGCCTTTACTTGTGAAAGATCACATTTTCATATCAATATTTATACACCCTCCTTCATGGTTCTCACAGACCCTCATTTCAAGCATCTTACTGCCTTGGTGGAATCTCTGTCATAACTTTTAGCTAGTGGGCGTGTAACAAGAATAGCTAATATCTACCGAGTGCCTGATGTATGCCAAATATCTCACACATATCATCACCCATGAAGAAGGTACTGCTGTGATCCCCATCTTACCCCATCTTGTGAGTGGACACACAAGACCTCAGAGCTACTCGGCAAGGCTCTGGCACTCACTCCATGGCCCGTGGTGTCTAACCCGTATGCTATTTACTGCCTCCTTAAGGAAAGTCAGCTAGCTCTGGACAAGTTTTGTTTTGAGATTACATATATACCCATACATACATATTTTTTAATTGGGTCAGAAAACAAATAGTAATTATGACTGACAGTGATACTGGGCACTGGGCACTATTTTAAGTATTTCACATTTATTAATTCATTTAATCTTTACAACTTAATAAGGAAGATACTGTATGTATGAGTCCATTTTCACACTGCTATAAAGAAATACCCGAGACTGGGTAATTTATAAGGGAAAGAGGTTTAATTGACTCACAGTTCGGCATGGCTAGGGAGGCCTCAGGAAACGTACAATCATGGTGGAAGGTGAAGGGCACCTTCTTCACAAGGTGGCAGGAGGAAGTGAGTGCCAGCACAGGAAAAACTTCCACTTTTAAAACCATAAGCTCTCAAGAAAACTAACTGTCATGAGAACAGCATGGGGGAAACTGCCCCCATTATCCAGTCACTTCCCATCAGGTTCCTCCCTTGACACATGCATTACAATTCAAGATGAGATTTGGGTGGGGACAGAAAGCCAAACCATATCAATACTATTGTTATTGTTATTCTCTCTTTTTTCTTTTTTTTTTTTTTAACAGTCAAAGCAGACAGGGAGAAAGAGAAGCTGTCCAAGATTACCAATGAGTTAAGGAAAAGATTCAAACCCAGATAATCAGGTTCTAGAGTCTATATTTCTATCTGTTACATAACACTGACTTCAAAAAGTATTTTCCAAACTCCCTAGTACCACTGCTTTTCTCACAGTGCCAGCAGAAGGGTCCTCTTTAACTGCCACAGAACAAAAGCAATTGCACAAGAACAAACCAAATTCTAAAACTTCAAACCATATGTTGTCTTTAAAAAACATCAGGACTAAGGTTTAAAGAAGGGAAAGACTGCCTTCATTTTTATACAATAACAAGATTCCTTCTCCACCTTAATACTGTGCAAGGTAAGTCAAAACTCACTTTTCACTACACCCCTGCAAACTTTTCCAAGTAACAGTAAAATCAGTGTAGCAGTTCTTCGAACTATACATAATCTAGGCTGAACAATCATGTAATATACATTTTATACTAAACAAATCAATGTACACAACTGCCCATACCAACACACAAAAAGGACAGAATACACATTAATGGGAATTGTCAAATATTAGTAGCCCAAGATCATATTAATAAAACAAACATGCCGTCTCCAAAACTTCAAGGAAGTCACCTACCGTGGTGCTCAAATTTCAAAACAGACCTTATTGCTCTACTGTAATATTTTTATGTTGCAAGGGTCACTGTACACAGAGCAGTTTAAATCTGCACTGTCTGTAAGGAAAAAGCTGTGTATCACACAGTTAAATCATTCTTAATAGAGTGACATTTCAACCTCAGGATCATTCTCTACTTATTGCAATATCCATTTAAGAAATTCAACAACAGAGGCACAATGAGTACAATTTGATTTTTAAAAATATATTCAGGCACCAAGCTGGGTATTTAATATAGTTTGCATTCTGTAGTATGATAGGCTTTCTATTTCAGACAGCTAAGAATCCCTTACAGATTAGTCTAATTTGCTAAATTGAGATACTTGGTGTTTTACTTTTCTTATCTGCCTTTTTATGGTCTATCTGGGTAAACTTAATTGGCACATCTGAGCAGATGAAATACCCTCAGTTAGGAGTGCAGATCTCATGGAGTAAATTAAGACTGATGCAGACAATTATGCCCAGAGCCAAAAATGAAAGGTATGTAGAGCAGGAAGCAAAATTAGTCTTCATTTGTGTCTCAGCTTTGTTATTTAAAAGAAGCCAATGTGCTAAGAAAACATCTTTAACCCATTTATGTCTAAGGTTACAATTTTTTGAATTTTTGCATTAAATTCATATATGTTACCTAGAAAAATTCAAGGAACAAAAATCTGAAGATAAAAAAAATTTATTATGTTCCATTGTTATGTGACGTTCCAAAATTGGAACACTAGGCAAAACCACTGTACATAATGTATAAAATTATGTTTCTTGTCTCAGGAGGTGGTGACACCTGCTATTCAGTGTGATATTCAACGGAACACTTCACATGTAAGGCAACATCACATTTTTCACATCGAAAAGTGGTGTTCTTATGACATTCAGCGCACCGCGTTTGCTTTCCCTGTTTGACTATCACATGATTTATGCCATCATAACGGGAGTCAATGTTACGCTTCTGAGGTCTTCCTTTTTGGCCAGGTTCTGGAGGATGACCATGGGTCTCCAGATAATGGCATACCACACGTCGACGAAACTCCAGAAAATCCACTGGTTTCTCATCATACGTTTTATGCAATTGCCAAGCATTTTGTAAGACCAATTCAAAACAGAACAAAAGAGGGCTTGAATACCATTTCTTTCCACGGATTGAGGCCCGATACTTATCAATGTTTTCATCAGCTCTGTCTACGCCTCCCATGAATTGGTTATACACTTTGATCATGTTTGGCTGCTGAACTTGGATCTTCTTTTTCAATTTCTGGGAATAACGACTGACAAGACACAGGGGATGGATACCAGCACCAGATGAGGCAACAGTGACAACACTGTTATCATTCCATCTGCAGACAATATTCCCTTTGCCATCAATTCGATAATCAAATGTGCCTCTTTCTTTTTTCTTTAAAGCTACATCTGATTCCAGTGGAACTTTGTCAATGTGATCCTTTCTCACTGTACCTGTTGCCTGATGTCCCATTGAACTGAGTTTATCAAGAAGTGCAATACTGGTGAAAAAGTTATTGAATACAAAATGGTATTGTCCAGGGTGTGCCTCTGTAAGTGCCTCACTAAACTGAAGGACAAGTGACGCACCAACACCATATTCCTCATGTTTAGTATTTGGGTTTTTACCCTGATACGGCTGAAACCAGCAAATGTAGCCCAGACAGGTGGCACCACACCAAAACTTATAGCCAAACCGAATGGGCTTTCCCCGAATAAACTGTTTGTACCCATGACGACCAAAATAAGGAACCATGAATTCATCAAAGCTGAAATATGTTTCATTTGGAACAAATTTCATGCATCTCTCATTGAGTTTGCTTATGAGAGGTCGCAATTTGGAAAATTTGTCCACTGGATCCAAATCTGCATTGTCAGCAACATGCAAATTAGAAAATATAGTTTCAAATCGGTCACGTCTCATGGCAGCACTAACCAGTACATTATGCACATCCGTTCTTTGTTCCCAAAACATACGCCTTCTAGGAACTGAAACATAACCACTCAGAAAAATAATTCCCAGAAAACATTTGAATTCAGAGCTAGTCAAGCCAAGATGTACACCTTTACTGTCAGCATATAAGTTGGAGTACTTGACAATGAGTTCAATGACCTCGTCATCAAGAAAAAGTTCAAGAATTTCTGTGGGAGTTCTCATTTCGGTGAAGAAATCGTTTGGTGGTGCTGTAACTCTACCTGCTACGGGTTGTACAGTTAGGTCGGCTTTTTTCCATTTGCAAACAATTTTTGTCATTTTCCTCCTCCTTGATGGTGGAGGTTGCTGCACAGTAGACGTAGATGGAACTTCGTCAGGAGAGTCATCTTTAGGTGCGTATGAGGGATCATCTGAGTCAGACTCAGCATCAGAGCCATCTTGAATAAGATACGCAGCTGTGTGCAACAAAGAACCTGGCAGATTTTTTATTGTTCCACCTTCTTCATCTCCTGATTCCTCATCAGAAACAGGTGCTGTAGCATTTTCAGGTGGTTGTATCACTATAGCACTTGCTTCTATGCTGTCATCTGTCTCTAAAAGGTCAGTTATTTCATGTAAACTTAGTGTTCGAGGCATCTTGGGACTAAAACGGAAAAAAGGTATTATTAGTCCTAGTGGTAGTGGTTTTGCCTAGTGTTCCAAAAATGGAACATGAAAAAATGTCAAACCCATAACTAATGCAACAATAATACTTTCTGTAATACTGCACAATAGCATAACTAATAGAGAAGTTATTCTTTTAAAATTACTAGTATAGAATGTAGTGCAATAAAGTTATATGTACCTGTCTTTGGATACTTCCTCAAAAATGTTTCTGAAAACTCACATCACTTTTGACAAGCTCCCAGCATGCCAGTATCTGTAGCAGTAACTAACTCTGTGCACCACGTGATAACATGCACCCTCAGGAGGCAGACGTGTGAAAAATCAGACCTTGGCAATGACATTGAGCAGTAGGGTATAAACAACTCCCATATGCTTAGCGTTCCAATAATGGAACACTAGGCATAAATAGGTTTTAAGAGTGTAACTTTTTCTTTCAACTTATAGATTCCTAAAAAAAAAAAACATATGGGCCTCATTCTTTCTTTTTTTTTTTTTTCTCCCAGGCTCAAGTGATCCACCCGCCTCAGTCTCACGGGTAGCTGGGACTACAGGCGCACACCACCACACCCAGGTAACTTTTTCTACTTTTTGTAGAGGTGGGGTTTCACCATGTTGCCCAGGCTGGTCTCAAACTCTTGAGCTCAAGCAATCCTCCTGCCTTGGCCTCCAAAAGTCATGGGTTTACTGGCATGAGCCATTGTGCCCGGCCAGGCTTATTTCTTGAGAAAAATGAACTCTCAGAGAAGTTAAGAACATTCTTAAAATCATTATATTTAGGTTTCTGGGTAAAATCTCAAACTTTTACTAAATTCAGATTTTGGGAGAGTTTTGTTTTTTCTCTTTAATTTGAGTTTTAAAAAAAAAAAGGCACGATCAAATCAACCTCCATATTGTCAGCTGGCCTTTGCTGAAGCACAGCCTAAAATTGCTAAATCCTCATCAGGTACAAACCAGGATCCAAATTAAGGACAGACAGGACAATCCCAGTGCAAACAGGTGCTAGACGGAAGGAAGACGTTCCCGGAAGACAATAAAATGGAAACAGGCTGGGAGGGTGGTGGTTCTCAGGGCACTGCCTTTAGAAGCATTTCAAGATAGGAACGGGACAATGGGGTGGAGTTGGCCCCCATCAAGTGGAGGGAGAAACCAGGCACTGAAGCAATGCTTGTCCGAGTCTGCTGCAGCAAAGCAAGCTGTGAGATCACTCTCATGTGTCCCAAACCACCTTCAGACCCCTTCTCCTTCTCCAAGCCCTTCCACTGACTGCTACCTTGAGCAAACGACTTCATCTCTCTGGGCTCAAAGTCCTATCTCCTGGGTAGCTGTAAGGATTAAACAAATTAACCTATATAACAAGAAGAACCACAGGAACCACTAAGAGGTACACATTCAAACATGTCAGCCATCATTGTTCTTGTGCACCACCCCTACCCCTGCCCCCACCCCCACTTAATGCCACCCGTGCTCAGGCCCTCAAGGCCTCAACGTTCCAAATCCACAAGACTCTCTTCATAACAGTCATCCTACTTGGCTTGACCCCTCAGCATCTGAAATCCTGAGAGCTACCTCCTCAGAACAGTGGATGTGCACAACCCAACCCTCCCAAGCCAGGATCCAATGGGGCCCTGGCCACAGAGGCCCAGTGCTCAGGGGAAGGACAATGAAGAGTATTATCTTCACAGGAGATTACGTCTCACAGACTATTAGAAGACATGCTGTAAGACTTACACAATGAATAGAATCTTTATCAGCCCTTTACATCTCAAAGTTACTCATATAAAAAAGGTAAAAAATAGGGCACAAGAAAAACCTTTAGGATCAAAAATGTATTAAAAACCAATTATACCAACAGACATCAAGACTACAGATTCAGGTTACACCAGATCATGAAGTAAATTCGATCCCCATCCACACCATACTTGCCAGGTCTTCCATACTCCTGAGCCATCTCCCTATATCCTCATCCAATTCCCAGACCACAGGCTTAGGTTTTTGGTTTGGTTTCCAGTCCAACGGAGGTGGGGGCAGCTATGTGTTGATTCTTGGCACCACCCTGTGGTCATACCTAAATATTGCACCTTCTACTCAATCCCCCAAAGGGAAAGAAACACAAGTATGTAGAGGGCCCAGCCAACTTAAAATCTCAGCTCTACTTCACAGTAAGACTGTGGGCAAGCCAATTAACTGGAGGGGCCATTATTATAACCATGTAAAGATGTGTATTCACAGAACCAAAGACTGGAATGACATGTAGAAAATAAAAACATAAAAAATAGAGGTCATTTTTTCATCTTAATATTATCATACTTTTACAATAAAAAACAGGGACTCATCAGAAGTGCTGAAAGGTGGCGAGGGAGCCTTCAAACCATTCAGAGGAACCAACTCAAATCCACTTCAGGCTGTGTGTTTAGCAGCTTAGCCCAATGCACCAGGTCATCTGAGGAGACTCAGGCACCGCCTACTGAAGAGTTCATTTCTGAACTCCCCACTGTGTTTCCCTGATCGGGGTGGGCACAGGTTGGGGATTTATCCCAGAGGCAATTATTTGCTGAGTGTGGCCCAAAGTAGAGAAAAAAGCATTACATTCTCAAGCCTCAACATCCTTACCAACAATGCTTTCCAACTGCCTCAAAGCTCTCCTAAATGAGAATACAGTTATTTCTGAACAAGGGCCTGTGGACCATGAAGAATGTCACCAAGCTCCCCCTAGAGTCAGCGGGAGCTCAGCCAAAGCACAAGTGCAATGCCCAGCTCCTCCTGCCCCACACCTGCCGCCTCGGACTCCCCAGGTTGAGCTTAGGCCCCTACCCACTGAAAGTGTTCCCCATGTGATTCTGACACACACACCCCACAAGAACTAGATGATCTATGACATATAGCATTTAGCTAAGGCTCCCTGCCAGGCCCTCCCCTGTGTACATACAACTGTGCAGGGCACATAAAAGAAGATTTTTGAGAAACTGATATACAAACTGCATTAGCCAAAAGCCGCAGCCCCAAAAAGAAGAAATATGTAAGACTGACTTATTTCCATCCCTAGCTCCCAAACCTGATAGTGATCAGAGCCACCTGGGAACATATTTTAAAAGTCCTGCCCGGTGACCCCATGCTAGACTTCCTGAGTCAGCATCTCCAGTGTTGGGGGCTCCCAGTGACACTGCATATTCAGTCTGTGGGTGGGGAAGCTTTGCTGTTGTCTGTGCTTGCTGCCAAGGAAGTAGTCTGTGAGGGCAACAACTTAAATAATAACCGCTGGCAAATGAAAACAGAGTAAGAGCTTGGGGGAATGAGTTTAAGTCAAATGATAAATGCTAACCCTAGTCCTGGCAGCAAGAAGAGACAAAAACATATCTGGAAGTGCATCTTCTCACTCAGGATGCAACCCATCTATGCCCACAGCCTGACCAAGCAGCGCTGACCACTGCTGGACAAAGAGGCAGGAGTCAGTGACATTTGTTTCCTATGGCAAGGTTGGCAACTACCTAGCATGAATGTTGCTAGTTCCCCACTGTGCGTATGATAGACATCACTAAGGAACTGCAGACTCTTTCCCAGCCCACCCAAAAAGGGCCTCGGAGCCCCCTGAATAGACTACCACTACCCAGAAATCAGAGCTGGCTGGAGAGTGAAGCCCACCTGCCCTCCCTGTCCTCAGCTTCTCTGCATATTGTGGCATCACACCAACCTCCAAGGCAATCCAAATGAGAACCCTGAGGAAATAATGTGCCTCCAAAGCAAAGCAAATTCCTTCCCTTCTCAATGATGTACCTGGAGCTTAGGGGCAAATGTGTAATGTTGTTAATTGGGATAAGGGCCATATTAATATATCTGAGCTACCCAACAAGACGAGGCCCTACACTGGATGAACTTCCTCCACAGTCTCTCCCAAATATCTCAATCTGAATTCATTATTCCCTTCACACTTGGTTAGGTCCTATTTGTGCCCAAGTCCATCAACGGACTGCAAATTTTTTGCCAGAAACCCTTGAAGCCAGTCCAAGGATGCAGACATGCATTCCTGACATGAAAGCAAAGATAAAGCTATGTGGGCTGACCTCGAATATGTCAACTGGGAAGTGAATCAACAACATGGAGGTAACAAGGACTGGGGACAAGCGCCCTGATCTTTATCACCCTGAAAGGGAAAGGTTCATACGAAATGTTTGGTCTTCTGGGCCACCCAGGGCTGTCTTGGCTGCACAGCCTGGACTACGTAAGTAGCATGTAGATGCTCACCAGGAACCCATATCACTCAAACATATCAAGGTGTGTTAGTCCTATTAAATCTTTATTTGGCACCTGGAGCTCCCAGGCCCACAATGTGCAAAGCAGTAGTATATTTTAAGAAAGCAGTAGACCTCACAATCAACAGCCAATAGCAAATGGAAACTGTGGTAGCACAAAATTAAAATGAAAAAATAATGTATGTTTTATAAGACCTGTATATCATTGACCATAGAACCGACAGAACATTTACTTCTAAGCAATGGCTCATCCATCCTGTATGATATGAAATGGTATGAAAACCAGGGAACCCACTGAGGAGCTCGCCTCGAGATACAGTTCAGTGCAGAGGAGGAGGCAGGAGAAATACGTGGGAAGGGGGAATACACGGTTTGAAAAATGGTTAAAACTTCAAAGACTGAGCTGAGAGTCTGAGCCAAATGAAGGAAAGCAGGATCCAAGGTGCGACTGCCCAGTTCCATAAAGAAGCTATGGAAAGGGCTTGACGGGAAATTCCTAGTACCAGCTAAAACAAAGGTACCTAGTTAGGGTGAACCTAGTGCCAGTGAAAGGCCAATGGCTGAGAGAATAAAGAGGATGAGATATCCAGAAGTTACCCACTCTCACTTCCTAGAGTTGAAAAGAGCATTATAATTAACAGGCTATACCCTCAGTAAAAGGTGTTAAGTTCAGCTAAGGGTGCCTACCCTGAGAACTATTTCTAAATTCTAACACCTCCCAAAAAACTAATTTTCTATGTTGTAAACTATATGACTTATTGTAATCATCCATCATCAAACCATTGCTAAGACAAGCAACCCTAAAGGTCTTTTTGTTTCTCAAGGGAATAGCATTACCATTTCAATCAGTCTACGAAGATCAGCAATGAGTAACAAAATATAGAGAGACTGGCAGTTCTAATATGCTTCTCAATCCTGAGCATTTTATTTTCCTTTAACATCCCCCAATCCAGAGAGCACCAAAGGAGACGTAATACAAATATTTCAATGTGGATATCTGCAGTTTAACAGCCTTAATAACTGTAGCTATAAAATGTTAAGAGCTAACGTATTTTGGTGGCAATTAAGAGTTATTGATATTTCTGAAATTCATTTGAGATTTTACTGTAGCTTTAGCAAAATATTGGCTCTGGAAATAAATTGTTTTACAATCTTAACATTATTAAGAAAAACTTACTGCCATAAAATTAAACTAAACCCACATTTAAAATTCAGTCAAAATAAATTGCTCTTGATCAAAATACTGATATATTTTAAACATATTTAATATTGACCCAATTTAATTGGAAAAATATATATTGCTCCATTTATAATCAATATGTTGAGATTAACACTTTTATTAATTCCTTGCAGTAGTTAAGAAAAAGCCTGACACTGCTCACTGTTCAAGAGTACTGGGCAACATTCCTCAAACAACTTTACAGGTAATAAACATGCACAGAAACGAAAGCTGCACTGAGGGATGACGAATATATGCCAGCCCTCATCTGTGCATTATTACAGAAGGTGCTACTAGAATGTGAGTGCCACAACTCTAAAGAACAGGATTTAAGTCACAGGTCCTCAAATTACTGTTTAAAAGAATTCTGACGCATCTATTTTGGAAAGGTTATGGTGTCTGTAGTGTCTGGACAGGGGTTAATGAGCAGTTCTAAGTAACAAGAAAAAACACCAGGTCAACCTTCACTCACAAAGGCCAATAAATATAACAAACTAGGTCTCTTCACCTTGAGAAATAAGAAAAAACTGTTGAGGATTGGGAAAAAGCCATCCCACTATCAAGTATTTTAAAAGTAATAAAGTTCCTTGTTCCCTTTGAATTCCTTACAGCTAAGTGAGCTCTAAGTCAAGGAGACTTGAAATGTGCAGCAGTAGCACAGTGCTCAGTGGGCCACCATGGGGAGGCCTGCAATGCCGATTATTTTTCCTGGCTCACAGAAAACGTGTGGCAATATGCAATTCAGACTTCGTGTTTCACATGTTCACCTTCCCTTTTATGGTGCTTGCTTTATACAGAGACAATGTCATGGAGCTAAAAGCCAAAGTCAGTCTCTAACATAAAAAACAACAGTGAAAAGAAAGGTATGCTGTGCATACAAAGTCTACTTTTTGCACGATGGTAGTTTATAATTATGCAGATGACTATCTTCTCAAGACAAATGAAGGATTTACAAAAACAAGCTTATTCTTTCTATGCCAAAGCTTGTTTCAGCTTGTTTTTGAAGAAAAGTTCTCTAAAATTACTTTCCTGCTTCAAAAGGGAAAACAGAAACCCCTATCCAGTATGCATGACATAATTCACCCTTTTCTTTTTCCTGATACTTATTCTAGGATGACTGTAGATATCAAGGCGACACAGCTCACACTCAGCCCTCTGTATGCCTCTTGCCCCAGGCTTCCCTTAAGTTTTTCATCTTCGACTTGCCTCCAAATCCAAATAAAGACCTAGAAGTACATGCATTTGGGGCCAGCACCATTAAGGACTCGGGGCACCACTGCTTCTAGCAGGTTAAGGCTGCAGAAATCCAACCTCTGCATAATCGGGGGTCTAATATATTAAGCTGGATCTAGAATGTTTACATATTAATAAACCTGTCACCTAAGATAAAGCAAACAGTACAATATATTTATAATCCCCACAGACCAACCTTAACCGCTGCTTATAATAATCTTCATCTCCATCATCTCGGTATCTTCCTACTTTCCGACCTCCTCCTCCTCCTTCTCCTATAAGAGAAGCTTCAGCTTCTTCCCCAGAACTTGGGAAAAAGTCGTCATCAATCTCCTGCACTGGGACTTTCTTCTGCCGTTTCCGGCCCTTGGGCAGAGGCTTCAGCTCATAGTCAGTACCGTCTCCAGACAGGTCTGCCTCCACCCCCTCCACCTCGTCATCTTCCTCCTCCTCCTCCTCCCCCTCTGTGGGGAAATACTCAGACTCTTCACCCTCAGAGTCTCCCTCTGCCTCTGGCCTCATGTCTGACTCCCAGGGTCTCCTTGCCTTTGGCAATCCCACTTTCCCCTGGAACTGCAAAGCCCTCTTCTGGAGTTTCTTGATGTGCTTTTTCAAACGCTCCTCTTTTTTGGACAGAACTTTGGCTTTCTTGTTTGGTTTGTTTTTACTTTGTGTTGGGGCCGGAGGCGTGACTGAGGCTGGAGCTTTTCTAGCTGGTCTTTTATTACAAGTAGCTTGCTTCTTCCTTTCAAAAGACAGTTTTGCTTGATCTGCCAAATACTTTTCGAAGCCTGATGCTTCATTGAGCATGATTTTTCTGGGCTTTTTCTCCTGTTTCTGAGGGATCTGGGTACCAAAAGGTGTCATCTGGCCAGTGCGAATGAGCTCTTCCCAGGCAGTCTCCTGGACAGGCATGAGCATGCTGCCCAGACTGGATGGCCCCGGCTCTGAAAGAACAATGGCAACGCGTTTTGCACTAGCATGAAACTTTTCAAGGGTACAAAAGAAATGCTCACTCTTTCAAGAAATATTAGGCAGCTACAAGTAACTCATATAAAAAAAAGAATCATCCATGTACTAAAGCATGTTACATACGAAGGACAGAATAAAATTTATTATAGCATCACACTATATTTAATATATTCCTGTTCAAAAAGATGACTTCTCAGTAACTTTTCTCCACAATATTTCACTATAAATATACTCTCTGCTATCCAAAAATAGGCTGATTACTCTATAAATACAGTTATAAATAGTCATATTTAGCTGTGTTTCCTTATCAGCCAAGGAATAGTCCATGAGGAAGCAAGCTCTGAAGTTCTCATATCATTGCTAAAACCAGCATTCAGATGGACTTAAATTCAAGAGACAGTAAAACCGAAAACAGGCATCTCAGGGATCACCACATATCTAAATAGGAAAAACATAAATGTCAGCTCTACGCTGCCCAGCATGGCAGTTACCAGTCACCTGTAGCTATTTACATTTAAATTACATTAAGTTAAAAACTCAGTTCCACAGCTGCACTTGCCCTTTTTCAAGTGCTCAAGAGCTACACATGACTAATGGCTACTATAATGGGCAACACAGAGAACATTTTCATCACTGCAAAAAGGTCTATTGGAGAGCAGCACTGTGTTAGATATGTGAAGTTAACTGACGTGAAGACATGAACTAAAATTGGAAGTTACACCATAAGCGTAAAGTCACCCAGAAAGTATCCCTCTTTCATTAGTTGAAATTCATTTCTGGCAAAATTACCACATAATCAAAACACCAAAAGACATAAGGCTTAATAGGAAGGAATCCACATTCTAAAATCTATGACTCTTGCAGGCCAATGATACCCAGTTTTTCATTAAACTTGCACTGAAACAAAACACACATCTGAAAGTGCACAAATCATTAAGTGTAGAACTCAGTGAATATTCAGAAAATACGTACTCATAAACTAGCACCCATATCATATAACAGAAATTACTAGCACCACCAGATGAGCCCTTCAGGCTACCTCCCAGCCTCTATACCCCTCAAGATAATGATGGACCTGGACTCCTAATGTACAGACAAGTTGTGCCTGTCTCTGAATGCTACATAAGTAGAAATGTTTGTCCTGTGTCCACCTTCTTTCGTGCAACATTATGCTTTTGAGCTGCATCCTTACTGTTGAATGAAGCTGTAGTTTGTTAACTGTCACTGTTAATGCACATTTGAGTGGCTTCCAGGTTTTGGCTACTAGAAATAATGTTATGAATATTCTGATGTACATCTTTCGGTAACACATATATACACACACACACACACACACGTGTATATACACACACGTGTATATACGTATGTACGTATATATATAAGTATATATGTATATACGTGTGTATATATACATATATACATATATATACACATGTACGTGTGTGTGTGTATATAGTCATCTGAGTATGCTAAGCTTTAGTAGACACTGTCAGTTTTCCAAAGTATTACCTTCCAAAGTCCCATCAACTGCGTCAGAAAGTTCCAGCTGGTGCATATTCTTGCCATTCCATGTTAGCTATTTTGGTAGATGTGTAGTGGTACCACATTATGGCTATAATTTACATTTCCCTGATGACTAACAAAATAGATGCCTTTCATGAATTTATCTTTTGGACAGTCTTTTTTGTATAGAAAGTGTTCCAGTCTTTTTCCCATTTTTCTTTGTCTATTTTTTTTAAACGACTGCCAGTTCTTTATACATCCTAGATTTGAGTCCTTTGATTCACACATGTATTGCAAATTATCTTCTCCAGCTCAGTATCTTGCCTTTACACTCTCTTAATGTTATCTTCTGATGAACAGAAGTTCTTGGTTTTATATACAGTTCATTTAACAAATCTTTTCCTTTACACTGAGTATTTTGCCTCAAGTCTCAAGTGTTGGCTGCTGTCCAGACGGAGAGATGGAACCAGGAGCTCAAAAAAAGAGCAAAGCCAGATGTCTACAGATCTGTATAAGGTACTAGTAGAACCTAGGTGGCTGCAAACGCCATGGGGAATAGATGACCAGGGAGAGGCAGTAGAACAAGAAGAGGGCTCAGAGAAATCCTGAGAAACATCAACATTTAAGATAATGCCAGAAATAACTATGCAGAAGTAGTCAGAGGGCCAAAAAGAAAACCAGTAGAGAAGTAGGGATCCCAGAAGGAATAGAAGTGTCAGCTGCTGTAGACAGGCAAAGTGGAACAAGGATAAAAAGGGGTTCTTGGATTTGAGGAGGTAGCTAATAACTCTAGACAATGTAGCTATTAACCCTACTACCAAAGTAGTAGCTGTTAACCCTGAGAGGTAGCTATTAACCCTACTACCAAAGTCACAGTAGGGGGTGAAAGACAACAGCAGATCTGAGACAGCCAGACAGGTACAAACATCTGTTACCAATGAGAAACACAGTACCAAGCAGTTAAAAGCACTGGTCATAGGCCTAATGAATTCTGAGAGACTGAACTTTAAAACCACGTATTTTTGGGCTGGGTGCAGTGGCTCACACCTGTAATCCCAGCACTTTGGGAGGCCAAGGTGGGCAGATCACCTGACGTCAGGAGTTGGAGACCAGCCTGGTTAACGTGGTGAAACCCTGTTTCTACTAAAAATACAAAAAATTAGCCAGGCGTGGTGGTGCGCACCTGAAATCCCAGCTACTTGGGAGGCTGAGGCAGGAGAATCACTTGAACCCAGGAGGGAGAGGTTGCAGTGAGCTGAGATGGTGCCACTGCACTCCAACTTGGGCAACCAGAGCGAAACTCTGTCTCAAAAATATATATATGTATTTACATTTTTCTATTGCCTCAATTAATTCTTCATAACAATTCTCATCTTACTGAATAAACTTGTAAAGCTAGTAGAAAATAGTTGCTTAGAGAATTTAATGTTAAGCAGCTTTAATCTGTATTTCAAATAGTCAATGCCTAAGCAGCCACCAACAATTTGTACACACACGCACACACACAATGACTGCAAAGATAATTTAGTTCCAGAGCTTATGAATTTTCCCAAAAGGTTTTCCAAAAGACAACTATCCAAGACAGTAATGTAAATGAAATACTGGCCACAGTATAACCTGAATGAAGATGTCTTTTCTTAAACTGATGCTTGGAAAGCCTGCCAAATACGCTCCTTAAAGACACGTGAGAGCCATTCTACAAATGGGGATTGATGATGTTGGGCTTCCAACATGTAATTTAATCACGATGCTAGTTGTCTTTATCAAATTAACAATATAAGAATGTTTAAGATTTCCAATGTATTAAACGTAATAATAAATGTGTATCAGCAGCCTCCAATGAACTGAGTAAAAAGTTTACTTTAATTCTCTTTGAGAGGGATTTGGTTCTGCAAGTGTAAAGAATAAAATTTTCCTAAATCTGTTTTGACACTAAAGCAAAGAAATGGATTTTTCTCAAAACCCAGGCAAAGACTAAAGAGACACCCTCCACTGACTACAGGCATCAGGCATCAATTCAAGAACACAGAGAAACTGCTCCCAGCATTCTCACCTGCATCTTCCTCTAGACTGGCGTGATCTAGTTCAATTTTCACCTCTGCTCCTCCAAGGATGGCCTGGAGATGCTTTTGTTTTGCAGTGATCTTTTTTAGCTGTTGTTCCTTGAATGGTAAATATCGAAGACAGAAAATAGCAATGAAGTGATTTATTGTTAAATACAAAAGATAGCATTATGAAATTTTAAACTTTAATCCAAAGTAAAATAAAAATAAAATATACATTACATTATATAAAAATTCCATACATTACTATTACTAGAGAGCCCCATGTGAGCAACTACCACTTTTCTAGGAGTAAAGGGGCCATGAATATTCCCAGCAGACAGGCATGCCTGCACCACCATGCTCTCCTAAGGGTGGCAGACAGCCTTCTATGTGCCCGAGCCCTTAAATACATGGACACTGACCTGAAAGGTGTACTTGTTCTACTTGGTTTCCCCCTTACACACTGGGCAAAACCCTAAACTACTCTGTGTTTCTGATCTTCGGAGCCAATGGGCTATGGAAGTCAATAGGCCATAAGATAAGAAATAAAAACGCAAATGTTCAGTTGAAAAAGTTAGTCCCCTTTGATAACCTACCATATTTATGACTGTCCTTTTAGTATTCTATCTAATCAAAAAGCCTTAAGAAAAAAATATATTTTGCCATGCCTCTTCACCCTGGCCACTCCAGACTCCTCTGTTTTGTTTCCTTCCACATCACTAGAACTCAGATATGTGCCCTTGGGCTTCATTGGGAAGGCCCAATGAACTGGGCCTGTGGTACCTGGTTCATCTTCCCAAAGTCAAGAAGTTTCAACTTCAAATATGAGTATGGGACTAGGGGAAATCCTGAACATAAATGCCACATTGCAATGACTTGCAATTTGTTTTTTCTCAGTCTTTCTCTCAGCAACATCCTGTTTAAAGCACTTTCCCTCTGAATAGTCTACCTAACCATCAAAGAGCTGTTAAAGACAAGAATGCATAATTAAGTTAGACTAGGACCTGAAGTGGTCTCAAGTTTGATGCTCTACAGCCTTGAAATCCCAGCCCACCAGAAGCCCAAGAAGATATCTGTGCACATCAATTTCACATGCTCCCACGAGAGACCAGATATCCCCTCTCTGATTTGGGACGAGCCACCTGCCTTGGGCAACTGCTAGCTTTGACCTTTGGGCTTGTATTCTGGAAGCAAGTGAGAGAAGATGGGGTGGTGCAGATAACAGACTGGTGAGTGGAAAGTATAATAAAAGGAGGGCCACGTGAACTGAGTCTATGCACAGCCCTGCCCCTGGAGAGTTTAAAGAAAAGATGCAAGCACTCTACTCACTGCAGCGAATCAACTGTAAGCACAAGGACATCTGTTAGTCATTTGGGATGGCAGAACTGAAAAGGTTACAACTAGTCATTCCTATCTATTGCAATATATTTTCACAAAGGGGTACATAAATCCTAAAAAATGTTTCAAACCTCACAAAGCTGTACATAAATCCTTAAAAAAAGTTTCAAACTTCATAAAAATAATATCCGAAGTAACAAATATTCCCTACTCTTAAGTTTTCCAAAGCTAAGTACAGCTCCAGTGTGGCTGGGTGCTGACTGTACCACCCAAGGAGGGAAGAAGGGCCAGGCTCTCGCAACAGTGAGCAAAGGTGTGTGAGGGTCAACGGCTGCACTGCCAGGAAACAGAGTGGAGACAATCAGAGGAAGCAAGGTTGAAGTAGAAAAGAATTCACACAAGACCAGGAGACTGAAGTCAGTGTGACCCTAAGCCGGGCCAAAGAAATGGTGATGCAGGAAGACTAGGGAAGTGCACCCAAGTGAGGCAAGCAACACCAAAAAGGAACTTTTCTCAAATACACAGATGGTCTCCAACTTACCAAGTTCTGACTTGCAATTTTTCAACTTTGTGATGGGTTTATCAGGGCATAACCCCATTATAAACTGAGGAGGCTCTGGACTTAACTACGGTTTGACTTACAATATTTTGACTTTAAGATAGGTTTTTCAGCGTATTAAATGCATTTTTGACTAACAATATTTTCAATTTACGATGAGTTTGTCGGGATGTAACCCTGCCATAAATCAAGGAGCAACTGTGTATGTATGGATGTGTGTATGGATGGATGTGTGTGTATATGTATCTGTGTTTTTTTAAATGCAATAGAATGGGATGTCAAAGGGAAACAGCAGAAAGATTAAACATAAAAAAGAAACCCAAAATTTCTCTACTGTAATTATAAGTATTTGCTTCACATCTTATAAGTGCTTTTTAAAATACTTCCTAAATTAAGTGGGCCTAAATGATGACTTTTTCAAAAATGCAATACTGAATATGTTATTCTGAATCACCTTATTATACTTCTGTCGTTTTACAGAATCTAGTTTCCTGTTGATGTCTCTGCTGGTGGCAGCTTGAGGGCTAAGCTGTTCAATAATTTTATTGATTTGCCTTAGTGATGTCGTACATGACCTGAAAAATAAGATAAATTGTCTATTTTCCACTCTGATAACATTTTTACAGCATAATATAAAGAGAAAAATGCTAAAAACACATCCCTTTTACTTCTTATTAACTAAAAGATAAAAGAAACTAAACCAGAATACATACCCTTATTTGCCACAAATAAAACTTGTAGGATCATTAGAGGTTTAAGATGACTGCTAGTGTTTTCTTTTATCTAGCGGATTTAGATCAGCTCATTCCCATTTGTAAGCTGCTTCATTCATTCTACAAGCATTATTTAAGTGCCTACTTTATTCAAGACACTATGCTAGAATAATGTGCAATAAGTTGTTCTTTTACATGAAAAAATGCATACATGGGCTTTTTAACCCTGTTGCGGAAGCCAAAGTTTGGAAGCATCCTAAAAATGCTTAAACATTTTCTTATATAAATCACATATCTGCGACAATATTTTTCTTCTACATAAATGGAAGATTCACTTACTATAGCATTAAACTTTGTGGTGCAAAGAAAACAAATCAATTAAAATAAATTACTCCTAAAATAGACACCATAGCTTCCAATTTTCAAAACACAAATTCAATCTTCTTGATGCTTGTATAATTTGCTGTTTGCATCCTCTGTGGATTACAGGATAAACAACGCATATTACTGGCTGAGATACCACATGCCACCAGCCATCTAGCATCACTCTGCATGGAGACCCCACAACTTTCCTCTGTCACCTCTGTAGAAAGAGGACACATTTCCAAGATCAAACGTAAAAGTATCATTATAAAGAGTTGAGGTCCTCAACACTCAGACTATAACCATGAATGTGCACCTGCTCCTGAGGAGACCAAAAGAACACACCAGGGAATGGTTAGCAGAAAACATGTCTTTGCAGTACCAACAGCCACATTCATGACAGCTCCACACTCCACCCTCCCCAGCTATCCTCTGCGACACTGCTCCATCCTCCATCCAGTTCAGCCCTTGCCTTCTTTCTTGCTTACCTGACACTGCCCAGAACACTGCCCAACAGGGGGCCAAGCAGCAATGATAAGTGAGCTCAACACCTCCCACTTCCCCTCTCCTGTCCTCACCTCCTACCCTGGCTCAGGTCTACAGTTTCCCCTATTTCTAGAACGCAAATCTGAAAAATTGCCCAAGGACTGAACATTAAGTTTGGGGACAGCAAGCTAGAAAGAAACTACTGCACAGAGAAAAATGTGAAGGTGGCGGAATGTATTCCTGGCATCTCGAATAGGAAACACCCGAATTTTAGGTGCACTTCTCCTGAGATCACTCTGTGTACCTGCTGGTGAACAGCCCTTCTCTTCTGGACATTATGCATGCAACTGGCTTTCATGAGCTGGTCGGAGACTCTAACTACCATGTACAATGCCACTCCTGAGGGGAAGGGCTAGGACTCAAAGATGAGGCTGAGGATTGCCCTTACTGACTCTGTTCTCCAAATAAAAGACTCTACACATCTCCTAAACTTCTGTAATACTAGAGCTCTCCATTACCTGAATATCCCCGTCATGTTTAACCACAACTTTTAAAGGAAGAAGACGGGCTGCACTCACATGAGGTCATCCAGGACCGACCGATACTCCTTCTCTACGTCAGCGAGCTGGGAGGTACAGCTGGCCTCATGGATGGCATTGTCCACCTGCCGAAGCACACCCTGTTCCAGCACATCCTGGTCATAGACGTCCACACCCAAACCCTGCAGCTCAAGGGCCTGGGCACTAGGCTCCACCGCCTGGATCTGATGTCGGTTGATACGCAGCAGGGCTGGCCCTCTCCTCGGAGCTGCTGATGCGCACCCCTCAGCAGAGGTGGACAGTCCGTCACCCACGGAACTAAAGGGCAGGTATTCTTCCACCTCCCCATCACCACCACTTTCTTGCTTGATTGCCATTTCTTCATTATTACTGACAGGTTGACTCTGTAAATAGTCTTGCTCCTGAGTTTGACTTGAGTGGGGGATTCCCTCATTTGGCATTCTCTACAGACTATCTAAAAGGAAAAAAAATTTATAAGCCTTTTCGTTATGTAGGATTCATTGTAGTTCTTAAATATTTTATAATTAAAGCAGACCAATTTCTAAAAAGATCAAGTAATAATCTTCCAACTATATAAATTCAAGTGTCCAAGTATTAATTCACTAAAAAGGGACAAACAATATATCTTCTTGAGTTCTGATAATAAATAAAAAAAATTAACCAGAAATAGAAAAGCAGTGTCATCAACAAAGAACATTTAGGCAGCCAGCTAAGAAAGCTAGCCACCAAAATCCTCGGGTGATGGCCATGGAATATTCTTCAAAACAGTTGAAGTCATTTGACTGCTGTTTTCCAAGTTAGCATCTTCATTTCATTATGACACAAATGATTTATATTATAGTGGCAAGATCAACTGTAATGCATAGGAAACAGTGATGTTAGGAAAGAGCTTCTGTGTGAATCTGAGACTAGAAACTCCTAGGCTGAACACCTATCCAGTAAGTAGGAGCTCTGAACAAATCAGAAGCTCAGCAGATTAATTAGGCCAGGCACGTGGCTCACTCCTATAATCCCAGCACTTTGGGAAGCCAAAGCAGGAGGACAGAGATCAGCCAGGGAAACAGCAAGCTCAGGACTTCGAGATCAGCCTGGGAAAGATAATGAGGCCTTGTCTCTACTAAAAATTTAAAAAATTAGCCAGGCCTGGTGGTGTGCACCTATAGTCCCAGCTACTCAAGGGGCTGAGGCAGGAGGATCACTTGAGCCTGGCAGACGGAGGCTGCAGTGAGCCATTATTGCACAACTGCACTCTAGGCCTGGGCAAAAGAGCAAGACTATGTAAAATAAATCAGAAGTTTTTTTAAAAGATTAATTAAAATATTCTCGAAAATAGGCTGGCCACAGTGGGTCACATCTGTGATCCCAACACTTTGGGAGGCTGAGGCGGGCAGATCACTTGAGGTCAGGAGTTTGAGACCAGCCTGGCCAACATGGTGAAACCCCGTCTCTACTAAAAATACAATAATTGGCTGGGCATGGTGGTGGGCACCTGTAATCCCAGCTACTTGGGAGGCTGAAGCAGGAGAATCACTTAAACCCAGGAGGCAGAGGTTGCAGTGAGCTGAGATCTAGCCACTGCATTCCAGCATAGGCAAGAGTGAGACTAACTCAAAAAAAAAAAAAAAAAAAAAACCTCAAAAATAACTCCATTTTAATACATAGTATAATTTCTCACCCATCAGGCTGGCAAGAATGTAAAGCCTGATATATCCAATACAGACAAGGAGAATGATCCCCTCCCCCTCACACGCGGCTGCTGAGAATATAAATTAGTAAAGCCCTTTGGGGGGACAACTTAGCAATAGCTATTAAAATTTTAAACGCACATGATCTTTGTCAAGCAATTCTAGGTATTTATTCCAGAGAATTATTCCAGAGAACTAGTCAAACACAGATGCAAGGATGTTTACTGGAGCACATTTTTAATAGTTTAATGTAGCTACTAAGTATATTCTGTAGTACTGATACAAAAGCCATGTTAAGTGAAAAAATTCATGGTATGAACGCACTTATGTTGAAAGAAGTATGTATCCTGCACACAGAATGATCTGGCAGGATACAAACTAAGCCTGCAAGTCAGGAGGAGGGAAGAGAAAGCACAGGGAAAAATAAGGGGGAACTTTCACATTGTACTCCACATACTCAGGACCTGCTGCTTTAAGGAGAATGTATTCACTATATTACCCATACAACTATCACACCTAATAAATATATTAAAAAGCAACACAATAACCAAAAACCAGTCTTGCTTTTTGTTTATCTGTGAATATACTAAGACTTCTTTGAGCACTATCACTTTTCTGTTAAATGACAAGTTCCCCCAATGGGTCCCACTCATTCCTTATTAAAAAAAAATAAGCCCAGCAATAAAGCACTGGCATACAAAGATTTTAGCACCATCTACACCCGAGTGGCTATCCACTGGAGAAGCAGCATGTCAGTAACAACAGAGCAGGGCAGGTCAGCTAGCCCAGGACACGGACAAGAGGTCACATGAGCATTGAGGGACCTATATATGGTGTCTGGAGCCCAAGAAATATCACGGAGGAACTGAGATTTGAACACATACACCGTGCATGGTCTGATAAATAGGAGGTGCTCAATATCTGCTGAAAGGAAGTGAGGTTCAGAGCTAAGTCTAATAAAAAGTTTGGTCTGGACAAATGAGTCATAAATTCAGTCACAAAAATGAGACTCTCAAAAAGGAAGTAGATGGGAAGCAGGACTGGCAAGCAGCTTACATGTAATCAGTACCATGTGCAGCATGCAGTCAGAAATGCACAGCTGAGCTCAAGGGAAAGTCTGGGTGATACATGGACACATCAGCAGAGTGAGCAGTTCCAGGGTTCTTAAGGCTCTGACAGGTACCGAAGGTCATTTTGGAGGGTCGGAGGAGGCTAACATCAGAAAGGTTAAAAAGTGAACAACACAGTGAGAAAGTTCCTCCTTTTGGGGCCTGCTGATTATTTTCAAGAGGAAGGCTCAGCTCACCTCACTTTCCAACAGAGGGAGCAGGATTCCAGCTCAGAGTCTCTGTACTAGCTGGCAGTTAACAATTCTGTTTTCATTTTTCTTATTTGTACACACATGAGGATTTCTATTTAAGAGAAAAAGAATGCCAATTCAACCAAAAATATTAAGTAACCTTTTTTTTTTTGGAAAATAAATAATATCAAAAAGTACTAGTATTGTAGTGCAAAGACAAGGTTAAAAATAATGAAGTTTGGGGAAAACTTCTAATAATAAAGAAGGAGGAAGAGAGTCCAGTGAATTGGAAAGGGCTGAGTGAATTTGGATACTAACAGGTTACCATTTACCCTGGTAAAAGAAGTTTCAGGCCAGACTCAGCGGCTCATACCTGTAATCCCAGCACTTTGGGAGGCCGAGGTGGGTGGATCACCTGAGGTCAGGAGTTCATGACCAGCCTAACCCAACACGGTGAAACCCCACCTCTACTAAAAATACAAAACTTAGCCGGGCGTGGTGGTGCATGCCTGTAATCCCCGCTACTCAGGAGGCTGAGGCTCGAGAATCCCTTGAACCCGGGAGGCAGAGGTTGCAGTGAGCTGAGAGCGCACCATTGCACTACAGCCTGGGCAACAAGAGCAAAACTGTCTCTAAAAAAAAAGTTTCAGTGGAGGATGGGGTCAAAAACCAGACTGTAGTGGTTGAAATGTAGTTGGTGTGAAAGGAGCAGATGAGAAAATGGAGGCCACAAGGGAGTGGCCTGTCCTTTAAGGAGCTTGCCTGTGGCAAGGAGACAGCTAGAGTGATAAATAATGGATTTGTTGGGGGTGGGGAAAGAACTAGGGCAAGAAAAACTAGAGCATGTAATGACTGGAGGGAGACAGAGAAGATAACTCACACAGAAAGGTGTACCAAAAGAGACAGCAAAAGTGGAAGGTCCTGAGCAGAAAGGAACACGAGGCACAACACATCTTTCTCGGACTCTGGCAGAAGGAGGAATCCTGATGGATCTAAATTTGCAGGTGGAGAGGAGGGAAGCTGAAGTGGATCATAGACAAAATATCCCACAAAGTAGCAAGTTGGGCAGTTCCTGGGTCAGGAGACAAAGTTGGCACAGGGGCTGAAGACTGAGTCTGGAATAAATGTCCTGTACAAGAGAACAGGGAGTTGACAGGGAACAAACACTGATGATTGCTGTGCAGGACCTACCTGAGGATCCCCGCCCCCAGCCCCGCAGAGCCATGGACTGCTAACAATCTCCAGGGCTGTACAATCTCCTCCTTCAGCAATTAGCAGTCCTGGGGGAAATGTCACTATTGAGGATTTTCAGAGCAGAAATGGTACAGCAAAAGGGTCATGGGGTTGAAGATGCTGAGAAGAGTAGCTGAAGTAACTGACTTCAGGGTCCAAGCTGAGTAGGTTTAAAAAAAAAAAAAAACACAGAAGGGGCCTGGAAATGGGAGAAAGGTGTCAAGAAGCCATTTAGTGTCTGGCAATGGCCAGAAAACCAAGTCTTCTGGGAGTGAGAGTTGGAAACCAGAAGGCTCTTATCAGGTTAAAGAATTTCAGAAGTGAAATAAATCATACATTTAACAAATAGTTACTGACAGTCAATTACACCAGGCAATGTACTAGGTTAACTAATTCCTGTCCTCATAGAGCTTAGTGTCTCATGAAAAAAAACAGATATTTAAAATCCATATATATATATACACACACACACACACGAACACAATAGTGATTTCTTGGACACAATATTAAAAATAGAAGGGCAGTTGACTGATACTAGTTTCAACGCTTGAAAGTAAAAGCAGATACACAGTGGTTCCCAACTTTTGAGACACAAGTATAATTGTGGTGACTGCTGTTAGGAAAGTACAAGGCTTTCTGACAAAATCAGAGAAACCAAACTGAAATTATGGAGGTAGATGTGGGGTCAAGGAGGCCTCTCTGATAAAGTGACATCTGAGGACTCAGTCAGATTGCAAGTAAAGTGAACGTCTTGCAAGGAAACAACGAGTATAATTTTTTTTTTTTTTTTTGAGACAGAATTTCGCTCCTGTTGCCCAGGCTGGAGGGCAACCTCTGCCAGGCCTCCTGCAACCTCTGCCTCCGGGTTCAAACGATTCTCCTCCTCAGCCTCCCGAGAGCTGGGATTACAGGCATGTGCCACCACGCCCGCTAATTTTTGTATTTAGTAAAACACAGGTTTCCCATGTGGTCTAGGCTGGTCTCGAACTGTCTTGACTCAGGTGATCCACCTACCTCGGCCTCCCCAACAACGGTGTGTAACTTTCTATCACTAGAAAGACTGATGCATTTGTGAAAAAGGAAGAAGGCGTAGAACACCGAATTTTTTACTTTATTTTGATCTTGAGTTAAGACGAGCCAAGAAGGCTCGCATTCCTGGCCCTAATCCTTGGCAGGTATTCTTCTAAGGCTTAATCATCTGGGACGCTAGGGTATCTTCATTCGTCCTTCCCCGCACTGGGCTCCCACAGCCAGGGGAGAGCTGGGTCTGGTTTGGAAGCAGTTGGTCGGACACCCGGCACAGTTCTAAGAGGGGACAGGCAAGGGCCAGATCACACAAGCCGGCTGGGAAAACACGAGCATGGATCCACCCCAGTGCAATGGAATGACTCTGAAAACTGTTAAGTAGGGTGATGATGGCATGACCTACTTTATGCCAGAGACCACTTGCACAACTGTGCGGATAACGGATTGGAGGAGACAGAGCAACAAGAATATGATGGGAAAAGTGGAGGAGAAAAGCAAGGGCAGCCTGTCACAGGATGACAGCAGTGAAGACGCTGCGTGGAAGTCACGTAACAGCAGCATTTACAGGCGGCCTGCCCCATCCGCCCACACTCTACTAACTTGACTCTATCAACGCCCAAAACCTCGGACGTACATCTAGCCCGACTCTCTTTAAAATAACAGCTCCAGCATTTTAATCGAGATCAAAAAGGACCCAGCTGACCCAGCGCGCAGAGGCCTTACACAAAGTCGGAGAAGTAGCTGAGTTTCTGGTCAGCCAGGGACTCGGGCCGCTTCAGGTGAAAGCTCCGCGGCGCTACTTCCGGTCTCAGGCTAGGCGGCCGGAAGCGGGCGCCTGGCCCTAAGACCGCTACAAACAGCCCTAGCTGACAGGCTCAATCACCACCGCGAGGCCAAGGCGCGGGGCTGCGGCCGCCCGAGAAGCCTGAGCGGGGCCCCGACATCCACTGCCCGACATTGGGCCGGGCCCCCCGAACACTCACCCAGGGCTGCGTGGCCGCCCACACGGAAACGGAGACTCTGCCGCTGCCACTGGCGCTGCCGCCGCCGCCAGCCGCCCGGGAACCCGGCTAGACGGGCCGTGGCGCCTGCGCCCTCAGCTCAACCGTAGACACCGCCCCCAACAGGAACTCCGACTCGGGCTGGCGCGAGGTGGCTCGCGGCGCATGCGCTTGGCTCAGCGCTTGTTTTTAAGCACGGGCAAGACCACGTGGTTTGGAGGGAAGCGCTCAGCCGCGCCTTTGTCCTTGCGTGCGAGCAGAGCAAGATCGCTGTCTCTGCTGCATGTCAGCTGGGCGGCTTGCGGAGGACGCTTCGCCCCTAGCGAAAAATACCTTGCTAGTAAGGCAGTTATGAAAGTTAAGACATATTTCCACGTAGAGGGCGATGCGGGTGTGCCATGCGAATGTAAATCCTCATAATTAACCTTGAACCCTGCAGAGAAAGTCCGCTTGGGCAGGGGAGTTAGCCCCAGGCTGTGACCTCTCCTGTCATCTGGCACAACTTAACACGGGAAGGATAGAAAGCGGTCTGCTTCTCTCTTCCCCCTCCGCCACGCGCGCGCCTGGGCGCAGTGAGTGCCTACAGAGCCTGCTTACATGTGTACATTGCATTACATCCAGCGTTTAGTATCCGTCCTCAGATCTCAGAGGTAGGCAGGGTTTCGAGGCAGGCAAGGATTTTACCGTGGAGCGTTTGAAAAAAGATGTCCACACAGAGGTTCAGAACAAAGGGAAGAAGTTGAGCTTCGCCTGGGGAAAGAAGCAGCCCACGATGCATGGTGGCTGTACCAGACAGAGCTTCTCAGCTCAGGATCGGCGCTAGGAGAAGGTGGACGTTCCAGGGCCCCGAGGCAGGATGTCCTCTGGGAGCGCAGTGACTGCGGGTCACTGCCTGGGAAGTGCCGTCCTCACTTGGAAGCCTGAAGTCGGACAATAGGGAAGTGGGGTCGGAAAGCGGCCCCAACCCACAATGTAACTTGTTTTTGTTGGTGGTAGTGGGTTTTTTTGTTTGTTTTTTGTTTTTGTTTTTGAGACGGAGTTTTGCTCTTGTCGCCCAGGATGGAGTACAATGGCGCGATCTTGGCTCACTGCAACCTCTGCCTCCCAGGTTCAAGTGATTCTCCTGCCTCAGCCTCTTGAGTAGCTGAGATTACACGCGCCCGCCACCATGCCCAGCTAATTTTTGTATTTTTAGTAGAGACAGGGCTTCGCCATGTTAACCAAGCTGTCCTCAAACTCCACCCGCCTCGGCCTCCCACAGTGCTGGGATTACAGGCGTGAGCCAACACACCCAGCCTGTAACTTGTTTTTTTTAAAGAAGAAAGAATTTGGTGATTTCTTGGATAAAATATTAAGAATAGAAGGGCAGTTGATTGACATTAGTTAAAATGCTTGAAAGTAAAAGCAGATATATAGTGGTTCCCAACTTTTGAGACTGAGGTTCCCTTTGCAGTGTACTATTTTGGAGACCCTTCCTATATCAGAATTTGGAAGGAAAAAGATGATCCACTCAATAGGGGAAGTTGAGAGTTATTATTTACAAAGACGTGGGCAAGGTTCAGGAAAACAACTCAGGGTGATACAACTGGAGCTATTAAGGGCCGAATTGTGTCCCCTCCCCAAAACTCATGCTGAAGTCCTAACCCGCCACCCCCACCCCAGGACCTCAGAATGTGGCTGTATTTGAAGATAGGGTCTTAAATGAGGGAATTTAGTTAAACGAGGTCCCAAGTTATTTAGCAAGTCGTCCAACCCCTTTTATTCTCCTGCCCCATCTAATTTTTCTGCATCATTTGTGTCCTTCACTCCCTGGGTGCCTATGCTCAGGATTTAGGGAACTACTTACTCTTCTCCCAGGAAGGATGTGCTGCAATTGGCTCCTATGGCCTAGTAAGCATACTGTTCACCTCTTTCCAGCTGTCTTCTCTCAGGCTGCCATAACAAATGCCATAGACTGGGCAGCTTAAACAACAGGCATTTATTTCTCATAGTTCTAGAGACTGGGAAGTCCAAGATCAAATGCAGGCAGATTTAGCTCATTTAGGGAAAGCTCTCCTCATGGCTTGCAGATGGTTACCTTCTCACTGTGTCCTTACATGGGGGAAGAGAGAGGGCTCTCTCTCTTCCCTTTCTTCTAAAGTATCAGCCCTATTGGATTAGGGACTCACCCTTATGATCTCATTTAACCGGAGTTACTGCCTGAAGACCCTGTCTCCAAATAGTCACATTGAAGGTTAGGGATTCAACATATGAATTTGGGGGGCACCCAGTTTAGCCCGTAGCACCAACTCTGCTTTGTTGACTTCACATTAATAGCTTGAAATCAGCCATGGTAGGAGTATTTATACCACAGAAATGGACAAATTATAAACTGGAACTTTGAAGGAGGGGCAATTATTAATCTTTTCCCACATACCGCTACTTGTTATTCTGTCACTTCTGTGATCTTACATGATCTTACAAGCAGGTCCTTCTGCTTAGAATTCTCTTACCCATTCCAAACTCAGAAAAAGTTTATCTTTTCTGAAGCTTTCCCCTACCTTCTGACAGCAACTGGCTCTTGCATCTCCTGTGTACTTCCAAACCAGTATTTCTAATGTCATTATAGTAGTTATTGATTTGGATTTTAATCCATTTTCCCTACCATTTTCTAGCCCTTACTCTAAGCTAGGCATTATTTTAAACACCCCACCCAAGGGGTTTTTGCTGCCCACTGCATAAAGAAAGACCATAGCATTGTGGTAGAAAAGGAGCTTAATAGACACAAGGCCCACCATGCCAAGTGGGAGATGAAGGGCATACTCAGATCGTCTGATCCAAAGTCTGAAGCTCATAGGCTGGGAGTTTTTCAAATGCAGCTTGGAGGAAGGGGTGGGGGTGGCCAGGTAACAGTTGCTTGCTGCTGATTGGTTGAGGCTGAGATGAAATCATAGGGGGAGTCAAAGCTGTCCTCCTGCAGGCTGAATCACTTCTGGGTGGGGCTGTGGGAGTGGGGTTGGCAGTCCAGGTGGAGCTATGGTTGTCAGACATGCAAAAAACCTGGAAAGATATCTCAAAAAGCTACAAATAGTGGTTGTATTAGTCCGCTCTCATGCTACTAATAAAGACATACCCAAGACTGGGTGATTTATAAAGGAAAGAGTTTTAATTGACTCACAGTTAAGCATGGCTGGGGAGGCCTCAGGAAACTTACAATCATGGTGGCAGGGGAAGCAAACATGTCCTACTTCACATGGTGGCAGCAAAGAGATGTGTAGAGTGAAGGAGGGGAAAGCCCCTTATAAAACCATCAGATATCGTGAGAACTCACTCACTATTAGAACAGCATGGAGGTAATCACCCCCACGATTCAGTTACCTCCCACCAGGTTCCTCCCACAACACATAGGGATTATGGAAACCACAATTCAGAATGAGATTTGGGTGGGGACACAGCCAAACCATATCAGTGGTGTTATTTGCAGGAGTAATTGGGAAAGTTGAGCATCTTATAACCTCCAGAATAACGACTGACAATCGTTCATATCTGCGACTTAGCAGGACTCAGGCTCCTCTCCTCCCCCACAGCCTGATGGCTTCCCATTAGCTTTACAAAAACAGTTGAGTTTCAGACAAGGTCTGTTATCATGTAAACTACAGCCTAAATGTTTCTCAAACTTAGCTGGCCCCAGCAGCTTAGAAATAATTAAGGGAAAGGCAAGATGGGGGTTGGGGGTGAGGTGTTAGCTCAGACCTCTTTCACTGTCATAATTTTCTAACTGATATAATTTTTGCAAAGGTGGTTTCATTGTCTTGAGTGCTTTACTAATGTTAACTTGTTTACATTGCCATGGCATTTGTAAACTGTCATGTGCTGATAGGAATGTCTCTTAGCATGCTAATGCATTATAATTAGCATATAAGGAACAGTGAAGATGACCAGATATCACTTTCATTGCCATCTTGGTTTTGGTGGGTTTTGGCCAACTTCTTTACTGCAAACTGTTTAATCAGCAAGGTCTTTGTCACCTGTATCTTGTGCCAACCTCCTATCTCATCCTGTGACTTAGAATGCCTGCCCTCTTGGGAATACAGCTCAGTAGGTCCCAGCCTTATTTCACCCAGCCCCAATTCAAGATGGAGTTGCTCTGGTTCAAATGCCTCTGACATATTTCTCCCTTCCCTTTTACAAGGGAACCCCTAATCCAAAGGGTAGTAGAGGGATGAAGATCCATCTGCTGTAACTTCTTCAGGCTGAATCACGGCTATGCTATTCCTACCTAACTATTGTGGTCTCTTGTAGTCAGGGTAGAGAGGAGCACAGTCAGAAGTCATCACTATGGTGAGGGCCATTCATAACTCTTGAGGGCAAAAGGTGATATCCGGAAGATTAAAAAGTATTCAATTTAATAAAACATTGAGTAAGCTTATCCTGCACTCCCACACAGAGTACAACAGCAATATATTCCACAATGGTAAAGCACAATAAGTAAAACTATCCCAAGTAAACTAAATTAGAAGGCTTTCCATGAACTTGGCAATGGTTGGAACTGGTCAAGCTGATATGAAGTTGCTGTACATGCTATATGTTCCAATACATGATCGGAATTAGAATATTGATCCAGATTTTTACATTACCCATTTCTGTTATTTTTTTCTGAGCAGCAGCCAGAGATCACTGGTTAGTTGGCAGGAATAAGTAGGGTTAGTCTAAATTGCAAGAAAAAAAAAAAAAACTTAAAAATAACTGATGAGACTAGAATCTAATAACAGGTGTACCATAGTTGGAACATAACTTTTTTCTCTCTTCAGGTTCCCACTTTTATTAAACACAAATCATGGTAAGACTGATTTGCTTCCGACTAAACAAATTTAGTTTTATACTTGGCCTGATTCTTTGTAAAGAGTGCAGCAAGAATAATTATTTTTCACATAGGGTTTTTGTGTGTGTGTGTGTGTGTGTGTTTGTAATTGGATTTGATGGATATTTCTTCTATAAGGAATTTTAAATAAGCCTTTTTTAAAAACTGAGCCCAGCCATGGGTTGCTGCCATCAAATACCTGTAAGTTAGGTAAATTCTTCTCCTCCTGAGGTCCCAAGATATTGGGGTTCCTGGACCTATGAG